CGCAATTATACAAGTACTAGAATTTGTTTACATTAATTACAAATTCCTTTTATAAGTAATTAAACTTTTTAGATATTCAAAATTTTTAAACTTTTCAAATATTCAAAATCTTTAACTTAATGCTCAAAAAACGATTTCTTTAGCACGTACAGTACAATCTTTTTCACCTATATTCATAATCAAGTAAGTCCAAGCAATTATAATACCTACTGTAAGCCAAATGTAGTAAAGGTCGTAAGGTCATACACTTCTAATGTAGTTGCAAAGATGATTTTAATGAAAAACCCATTTAATATGACTCTTTTCTTATCACTGAAGTTATTATTGCTTTATTTAAATGCATATAGTGATACAACTTAAACAATTCCTTCTATTTACTTACAAAGAAACGTGATAGCATCTGTGATACTTCATTGACAGTAACAGCTGAACTGAGCTATAAAAGAGGTGTGCATATAGCAGTACCTGTTCCAACTCAGTTTAGTTTATTACAGTTTAGCTCAATTTAAACGAACACAAAATAATCTCAGGTCAAGGAGATTCTCATGCTTCAATGACAATTTCAACTTCAGTTACATTAGGATTTCACCTTCTCAAGTAAATCCTTTAAGAGATTCTCAATTCTGCTTTTTTATGATAAGTATTTTTAATGTGGAACTGAAACAAACCGCTGAGTTATTAATGCAATTATTCTCATCACAATTTTTAATTACCCCACTTACTAACCGACCACTATGCTCAGCACCATTCATTACTTCCACTAAGGGATAATTTCAGTAGCATAAGCCAAGCCGTCCAGCATCTGCGCGTCACTTTTGTGGTCATCTAGGTTAGCAAATCATAGGTTGATTTTACTAAATTATAACCCTTAATGCATGAAATATCATTTAAGGATGGATCAACTTACAACCTTCTCACCAATATTTCTCTGATTTTCCACTCCTCATGTAAATCCTGTTTAATTGCAAAAGCTATAAACTGTTTGTTTACACCTTCATCCTGCGCAAATAAATGCTTCCCAATTTTACATTTTTGGTCTATAAGTTCTATGCAGTGCATAAATGCTCCGCAACTTCTCATCCAACTTTCAGTAGATATTCAGTTGCAGCCCAACTAATGTACAGCTGTACATATTGGGAATGATGTAGCTTCAAGTAACTGATCACAGAGCAATTTACTGTAACATGAAAAACAGGTTATTCATTCAACGCAACATCCATAAGCACTTCTGCGCATGGATATAATTTCATCACATTCATAATATATATAAATAATTAATGAAGGCAATAAAATAGCAAAATTCTTCCAATATCTCCAATATCTTTCTACATACATGCACAAGCAGTGAACAAAAAACAAAAGTCCTGTTCCCTCTTGGAACTTTTAAATTAAATAAAATTTAGAAATCAATTTTTTCACCAAATCGCATATTATACAGATATCAAAATTTTGCAAAAGCACTGGAATATAAATGTACTAACGAGTTTAGTACAAAAAGTCTCCATAATATGAATAAAGAAAAAATTAATACATGAATAAAACTGGTAAAACTTTTGCAATCATTTACAGATTGTCGAGAAAATTTTGGCGTAAAACCAATAACTCAGGATTTACAAGAGGTTTCAAAAACTGTCAGCAAAACCAAATTATCACAACTCCAATATAAACCACAAATTAAATTTATTGTGAAATGAAAAAAACGGTAAAATAAAAGTCAAAGTTCAATAGTACATCTGATTATGTACGCATTCTATGAGTATAATAAAACATGCTTATTAATGCAAAAAGAAGTAAATACCAAATTTTTTCTCTTAAAACACCACTCGCATTCTTATTTCAGGTAATTTCAGCTACCAATTAAAACGACAAACTTGATAGTTTAGAACCAAACATTTCCAGACAAATCTAAAGAATGCAAGTGTCTCATACAAAGCTGATTTTTACGATAATATCAATTTTATATCAGAACAAACGAGTGGGCTGGTTCAAAGATAGAGAATTTGGGTAGATCGTAGTCGCTGAATTAGTGTTTACTGCATTAGCATAGAAATGTGATGCCGCTGTTGTTGATGGAAAAGTCATTGTCGTTATTGGAACTGTTCGAATGGATGAATTCCTGAAAATTGAAGAAATAAATGAAATCTGCCATGAATGAAAAGAGTAAAATTTATGGCGCCGATACAACTACGAAAAATCGTCTGAGAACGTTTAAGCGCAACGCTAAATAAACGTCTGAAATGCAAAAGCTTGGTTTATAAACTGCGATCAAGTTGATCATATACTTCATATTAACTCAGTGATATATGCTACCAATGACTTTCTGTACACGAAGAGATTTGCTTAAGATAAATTGGTATATTCCAAATCAAAATGACGTTATCTTAATACATTGAGGCCAGAAATGATGTTTTTCTATGTCAGTCCCTGCACGAAGTTGAATAACTAAAATCCAAATTAGCAAATTTTGCTTACACAAATAATCTAATACGGATCTAAGAGGATATATCTATGAATTATTACTTGAAACAAATAAAGATCTGTAAAATATAAACTAATCAATGAACCAAAAATTTCACGTCAACGATGAGAAAGGGGAAATAAACATAATATCAGCAAAAGCACTACAAGCTTCATATCTTGTAAACTAAACAAGCAGATGAAATCCGAAATTCACTTTTTTATGAAAAGATAAATAAAAATTATTGATATCTTGTCCCTAAACTATTCGATGTTTTGCATTTGCTGTTTATAATTTATCTTCGCTATAAAATTATAGGAACAAATTTTATTCGATTGCCTGCAAGTGTAAAATCTATCTTTGAAAGCCAAACCGAACAGCCTTTTCTAACACAACAATTGACAGTAAAGAAAAAACCGAATGCATTTGGTTCCCATTAAATTTCGATGTACTGCAGAAAATCTAACAGTATTGCCTCTTATCACTAGATTGTGATTGAGCTGAAGAGCAAATAAATGTAGCTCAGCTAGCATTTCGGTGTATAGCTACGAAACACTGCAGTAATGATTAGCTGAATAGTGGAATCCTTCTAATCACTGAAGCAACATCATTCAAATCATAACACTATAACTAAAAGCAACTAAAATAAAGTAAAATTCAAAAATTTGGACAGAACTGTTGCACGGTAAACTGTAGAGTTGTTGGCGGGGGAGTACTGTAAATGCTGCTGGCAGCATACGGAGCTTGCAACGGTGTAACTGATATTGATGGTAACATATGGGCACGCGCTTTCACTTCTTTCGTGAGTCGGTCTCGAAAATAAAAATATTTTGTTCGCGAATCGATATACTGTTCGTATAATGGGAATAAGCCGCTGAAAAAACTCATTTAAAATGAAAGGAAATCAGTTAAAGAGTCAATAATGACAACGAAAAAATATCCAACAACAGATAATAATACCAAGAACGTTGAATACAAAAACCTTAGTGCACAGCTGAAAGCTCGAACTAAGTCTTTCATAACGATTCTCTCTGGATTGTCTCTAATGACCCAATTAATGAAAATTTCATTTTGAAAGAAAGAAATAAATTGTAAGGCAGCAAATATTTGGGGCATTTTTCGGTTGAAAATAAATGAAAAGTTATTCACTCTTCAAATCTGCTTCCAAAACAACATAAAAACTTACCTGTCCATAGGTCGAGGGAGTTCGGGGTCAGGATCACTTCGTGCTCCATTAGCACCTGAACCAGCAGGATATGCAAATGAATTATCTTGTCCAATTGCGTAAGATGAAGATTCTCCGATACCACTGAAAAAAAATTAAAAATATTTCGTAATTTAGTCACGCGCATTTTATGTAAATATTTAAAAATAGGAAAAACTAAACATTCCCTCAATTACCACTCCTATTCTTTATTTCTGCACGAAATGCCGCACGAATTGTATTTTCAATTACAAATATTTGGACTACAGTAGAAATTAACGTACACTCCATCTCCAGCAAAACGTTTCTGCTCTGGAACACCCAAAGCATTTCCACTAGCAGTGCGCTTTAGACTAATATTTGCTGGATCATTGGGACACTGTGGAGTTTTGTGATCTGCTGCTCCACATCGATAACAGCGTTTATCCATACCAGGTTCTTTTCGTAACTTAGATGTCGATCTGCAAAATTCTGCTGAGTTCCAATAATATTATATCATAATTGCCATACCATAATTTTTTCCCGCAATTTTATTTGACCGAGAATACAAACTTGCGCTTTTTCGTCTTCTCTAACAATCATCATCATTCTCATAAGCAGTCAGATTACTAGTAAAGAAATTTGGTGACTAACATTAGTCTAATATGAATAATACTGATTTAAAAAACAATAATAGTAATGATAATAATCAGTATCAACTTGAAATTAGGTTAACCTCCGTATATTTATAGCTTTCCCTTCCAATATGTAACCGTCTAGTTTTTCTATAGCTGTTCGCGCATCAGACTCTTCGGGGACATGCTGAAATTAAAATCCGAACACATTACGGTTGGGACTTCGCTTAATATTACTAAATTCCTACTTCTAACTTCGATTCCTCATGTAAACTACGAACTTCCCAGTCCTTTACAACAAAATTTAAGAAACAACGAACAACAAAAGCATAATCCTTGATGACATCACACTCATTGACAACTACGAACTGAGAAAATAACTGACGAAGCCGCATGGAGTCAACTCCATCAGGTAACCCACCCACGAATAGCTTCACCATGACTGAAAATTCTGCACTTACATATACATTCAAACAAGACCACTGCTAACGGATATGATAAAAACGACAGTCTCGTACTAGAAGTACGCCGAACAACCTGCCACGTTATTCAACTTCTAACTTAGCTTACTGACAAATCCAACCCTCAATTCCAATAATCTCTTCCCATATTCACGTTTAAGATTTCAATTGATGAAGTTTATAGTATCTTGTTTAATAAGCAAATCTGGAAGTAGCTTGCGATGCAAAAAACATACTGAAATCCCAATTGACAAGATGGCAACAAACTAATTTATATACTACAGCAACTGAAATTCTCAAAGCACGGAATAATTTGCATTGGAAAATGTAATACAGCACACTACAAAACGAATAAGATAGTAGATGAAAGAAAAACCAAATAATCTTACTCTTGCAAGCGTTTACAATCATATGAAACACATTATTCAATAAGAACTGATACTGAATGTTTTGCTTTTACATTCATAATCAGTGAATTCAAAAATAGTGACGGAAACAGCCATTAACACTTTCACAATGATACCGTAATTTAAGTGAACAGAATCTCATAACTTCATTAAAACTCAGTGAGTCGATTCATTTTGCTGTTGTTCTCTAGCTGATGAAGAGAAACGAGCTTTTTCCTTGATCAAATAGTTTGCTAGAAAATCGATTGGATTCGGAGGACGCTCTTTTGCCAATGCTCCCAAAGCTTGGAGCAAAATCGGAACAACCGTTTGGTCAAGATATTGCCGAGTTGGGATAGTAGTGCTTGCCGAACTTGAACCGTCGTTATTGCCTCCATCACCAGCAGCCTTAAACTCAAATTCGCTAATACGTTCAGATATAGTCATGTTATCTATAAACTTATTCTTTGTTGTCACGTGACTCAATCTATTTCATCCCTTTCATGAAATAAAACTTAACGATTCCTCTGGCAATTTCATAAAGATTAATTTCCTTTATATATAAAAATGAGATCAGACTCACATACCGAATTCCCATCTTTTTTCTCCGCTTCTGTAGTTGATTCTGTATTTTCCAAAGTAATCGGAGGGTTTGACCCCGAACTTTCAATCGGCTTCATTGACTCTTCTTGATTTAATACATCTTCCTTAAACATACAAGAAATTAAATGCTATATTCGAGAGATTTGGCTTCATTTATATACCTTGAAGCAATAATTCGCCTATGATGTGTTTGCTTCAATACTGCTTTCGCTATTGACTTACACATCCATCTAAACTATTTAAAACTGACTAAACCACGCAAAGTAAATGAAAAAATTTCGTCAACACTAAGACAAAATTTCGACAACACTAAAACAAACACCAAATACTTGAACATGAAAAATGAAACAAAGAAAATCCATGTTTTTAAAATTTTAATTCATACTAATTTATGACGTGAATAAATGTTACCAAAATCTCGTGCTTTGTTACTAACAATATCGACTCTGCATTTGCTACTGAATTCTATTTGAAAAATTCTGTACCTTTCTTTACAAGAATTGCCAAAGTAATATTTAGAATATTCAGTGTCAATTACTTGCACAAATCCACGTACTGATGAAAATCAAAATAAAACTCAAGATCGAAAAATTACCTTTTTCGTTTCCTCAATCATATGCTGCTGCATTTCTTCACTTTGCTCTTTCGGTTGCTCTAAATTAACCGCTGGCTGTTCTGTTGTATCCATAGCAGACATTACTTTAAGACGTCTGATTGCTGAGATAATTTCGAAATTTAAACCGACAGTTACATAATGATGAATAAACTGATATAATGAATAATTAGGACTATAAACTCTTAATTACTGTTAAGAAAACGAAACTTACGGGAAAAAAACTAAACTATTTTAATAACTGTCGGTAACTATAACAACACTGAATTTAGTTTGATACAACGGAAAAAATAAACAATAAAAAAAGAGAAGATAAAAGTAATGAAAAAAACAATATCAAAAACAAAACTAAATATAGTGAAACTTGTAAAAACTCATCAAGACATTAATAAATTATGCATACGATTCATGAAAATAATTGAAATACCACAAAAACCACACACTCTCAAAGTTTCCTAGCATTGATGGAAACATGCAAAGATACCAGAATTGCGTAGCGATTTTAACATTAAGTAATAATAGTCATTATGAAAAATTCTGTCTCACGACTTTTTATTTCATATTAATTATTTTGTTTAAATTATTACTATTTATCTACATGTAACTTTAAATTGTAGAATTTAGTGCTTTATTGATGAAGTAATATTAATTGCCATAATTATGTTTTGCTTTTTTCACTTATTAATTTTTGTCATCATATTTTATGTTGACCCTAGTTTACTGTATGCATTTTCTCACTATACTATTTCTCTCAGTTTGTATCATTTTTTTTCCAATAAATTATATTATAAAAAACAAAACGATTTTTTAAATACTCTGAATTCATTAAAATGTTAAACGTGACATTTGACGGGTTTTCGTTAAGCCTCAGATTAGGTAATTATCGCAGGAATAGAGTATAATTATGGTGTAAAGTAGGTGCACACATTTCTGTGATTTTTTGACTAAATTTTATAAAAACTGTGATTTGTTTCTGACAAATAATTAAATAAGCATTCCATGCTAGTTCCAACTTGATGCATTACTTCGAGCTAATATTTTGTTGCTGAGAATGATGGATTATGTGAGAAAAAGCCTGTAAGCTAAAACCATAGGAGCGTAACCAATAAACTTGATAAGGAAGCTAACTTAATGGAATTCAAGTAGGAAATTTTGCGCAACGCACCATTACAAGATATCCAACCACCAAACATTTTATCGTTGATAGCAATTATTATTTTAATTAGTAGTTCGGGTATTATACAAAAAAGTTTTATGGTAATGTTTCATTTTAGATTTATTTTGATTTATTGAACAATTTGTTTAATTTCATGTATAACTTAACACCTGTTTATGAGAATATAGATATTCATTGAATGTATGATCATACGTGAAGTTCAGGTCAAGTGAAAGTGGAAGAAAATTGCTGTAGAATTATATTATGTATTGTCTGTATGTAAATTTATGAATTATTTACAAGTTAGTTTACTAAAATTCGAATCTTTGTTATTAATTGTAGGATTTCAACAAATCTTCTGGAAGTTAAAATATTTTCAGAATACTCTATTTTTCTTTATTCTAATGTTTGAGCTATTAATAGAACTGCTGTCGATGTTCTGCTGCAAATTCTCGATATAAGAATTTACACACCACAAAAAACACTAGATTTCAGAGATGGTGGATTAAGAATTCATCTGATATTGGATTTCCGTGTCTACTTCGTAACCGAAGGAAATGGCGTTTCTTATAGTTGTCTGTTTTTTGGCTTTTTTCACATCTATAATTTGGAGGTTCATTTCTTGAAATTTTTTTATTTTTTTTTAGTGATAAGATATTAAATGAAAGTAACAGTTACTCGATTTTTATGGTTTATTATTTGCTTTCTCGGAAAGTAATGTTACTCAAGGCACTAATTTTTTTGAATTAATTTTTTCCACACATTCATTCTATTTTTAGATACTATAGTGATCTGAGCAAAATATCTTGAATGTTTCATAGAGTCAGATTGCTTAATTATCAAGCAAATTGCGTAGTTTTTGTTTCGAAAAATATAATTAGCTTGCAAATCAATTAAATAAATTACAATTGATTTATTAAATCAATAATCACATACTGAATTGGAGCTACTTATTTAGATACCGTGGATGGCTGCTGTCATTAATTGTTGCAAAAATTTGCCGTTGTCGTTCAGTACGTTTAGGAAAATGTGGCTTTTTTTACATAGAACAAGTTAGAATTTGTTTAAATGGTGGTGTCGTAGTCGAAATTGATGACTTGCGTTTAACCACTAGTATTTTTAACGCTCATTACACGTAAGTTTCTAGGTGTTTAATAATTTTTTCTTACAGTTGTTCACTATTACCATCACACTATTAAGCCATGATATTACGTTCAAAACATTAATCCAGTAGAATCTGCTTGGTAAGGTAGATGGCTACTTTTGTTCGTGAGTTAAGTATTTTTTAATGAATTTTCAATTATGTGTAATTTGTAAGTTCAATGTTGTTTTTATGAAATGGGGCTCTTTTCATCAAAAAAATCTTTTTTTTTTCATGTCTGCTATTTCTCAGCTTTCAGCAATGCTGTAGTTTTTTTATTAGACATAGTAAACAGTTTTCAGAAAACCATTCATTATCACAATAAATGATATCCGCATCGAAGGTGAGTGTAGTGAACAATCTTCTTCAGCTCCCATTTATGAAAGTAAATACAGTATTGGGGATTTTGAACGATACCTTTATTGGTTTCAGGTATTTTATCATTATGTGCTTCTCCTTCTTTGCCACCGTGATTTGCAGATTATTTTTACACAGAGAAAAACATTATATTATAGAGATATATTTATGAAAAACTTAGTTGAAACTTTATAGACCAAGCCAAAACTTTTCAGGCCTTCCGGATTTTCTGAATTAGTATCACTAATTTGCGCATCTAATTTTTTCGAAATTACTTTCTAGTATACAAATGTGCTAATCCGTACAGCCCGTGTTGCATTTCTTGATGTCAACCGAGGATCCTTGTTACATTCAACAGTGCAACAGCTCCAACTCGATGGATATCGAAATCGAGAAGGGTCAGTTTAGAAATTGCTGCAAAGTAATATCTAAGATCTGCCATTTTGTTTTTTTTTCTTTATAATTTCGATTAAATGTGTCATTAATAAATGGTTCATACTTTAGGATGCAAATTGAACTTTCATGTAAACTGCTGCAAGCAAAACTGTTCAGTCGAGAAATGATTCAGAATACAGCACCGCTTTTTCTGCTTTCATTAGGATTCTCCACTTGTTGCAATATTCCTCTAGGTATTTTCAAGCTAAACCGACTTGCTGCTCGAATCACAGATCCTCAGCTAACTGTTTCTGACGGTTGGTTCAATTTCAGATGCACATTACATTAACTGTTTCAATTTTTTTGAAGCAGAGAAAATTCTTTTTAAGAATTAGAAAGTAAGGTTGCATGTTTTGATTGTTTGTAGAAGCAGATCGTAAATTATTTACTGATATAGGAAACTTTCAATGGTACTCTTAGTATTCATCAAAAAAGTTGTTTTAAAATTCTTTTCGTCCATTTATGTAATGTATAATGCAATAACTGTTTTGATTAACAGGTTATTTTGTTGAATTCAGGTTTGAAACAAATTTAAAAATATCTGTGCAGTAAGTCTGAAGTTAGAAGTTTTAAGGTTTATTAGAATACTTATGTCACCATTCGCTGCGCCAGACAACAAGAACCACTTCTGGTCAATTTGTCACTTTCATAAATGTTGAAAATGTTCTCAGTACAAATTTGCAACTCGAGATTGAAAATCTAGTGCTGAGATATACAGCAAGCATCACTTCACAAATGTATGTCATTAAAACAATTTATTTCTGGTAAGCCTAGTTTCTTGTATTTTGTTAAGCTGATAAAGTTACTCAATTCAGCTCTTGAAAATTTCCGAAAAAAAGAAGGTTATTTTAAATTTGAAAAAATCGTTTTTAATTTGTGTTACACTAATGTATCAATGTTTTGTTTTATAAACATGCTTCATTAATGAAAAATAATTGTATTTGATAAATATTTTTAGATATACAAAGAGTGTTAAGCTACTTGTTATTATGTTCAAAATAATGTACTTTTTTGTAAAAAATCGATGCTTAAGGTTTACGATTTCGGCAAGAATAAATACGTTATCGGTCATAGTAGATAATAAACAACGATTTGCTGTTGTTTTAACTACAATTATTATGGACGATCAAACTCCTGATACCTCATTTAGTTGCGCCGAATTCAACGCAAAATTAAATGTTTATTTATTTTGAATTTCTTTTTTCATTTTGAACCATGCTTTATAAAGTTTGTTTAGCTTGACAGTCATCATGCATTTATTTTAATATTTGATATTTATTGCAGAAAGTGGTAGGTAGTTTCCAATTTATATTCACTGAAACAAAAATATTCAAACCGCATGTTGTTGTCAGTCAAAATACTCTTTGTCAGTGGATTGATTACTGTCGTAGCATAGAACAAAAAATATCTACTGAAGGTCATTTCGAAGACGATTTTTCAACTGCACCCCTTGGTACGCTTTACATAGTAATAGTTCATAATAAGTTTTGGTGATCAAAACTTTCTAGTATTTGGCAGTAGCTTAGAATAGCTTATGAAGTTGAAGTATATTGTAGTACAGTTCCTAAATTTAACATTTCCGGATTCCAGATTTACTGGTGATGCCGCAGAAAAAAAAACGACCGTATTGGAAATCGTTGTCAGTAGAAGTTAATTCGCTCCACTGTCATTTGCTTTTGTCTAGTGGTCAGGAAATCGATATTGGTCTTGAATTGGGAACATTCCATGTTGAAGATGTTAGTCTTTAATTCGTTTTCAAAACTTTTTAAGAAAGCTTGAGCACTTAGAACGCAGTTTCGATAGTACATTCCAGATGGGAAAGATTGTTTAAATTTTCCACTTTCATGCTTGCATTGTTTATTTTGCTAGATAAATATTGTGAGAACTTTTTTGTGATGACGTCTTCCAAATAGTGAAAATTTATCCTTCATTGCTTAAGACTATTGCAGAATTTTTCATCGGTTGAAGTTGGTTTAGAATCAGTATCCGTTCAGCGAAAATTGCCTTTCATTGATGAGTCATCCGATTCTCGATTTTGTCATGCTTGGGGCAACACGCTTACAATTGGAGCATTGTTAACTCAGGTACTAGTGTTATTTAGTTAATCATTTGAAATTTTCATAATGAGGATGATGCTTAGGATAAGATGATTACTTCTGAACAAACTTAGGTTGTTGTATTTCAAATAAATTATAAATATGCTTACTACGGTCATATGGTTATTTGAGTGTAAAATATTATAAATGTTGTTGTCTTAGGAAACAGTGTACTAACTTTTTATTCGATGGTGGCTGATACCATTTTGTCGAACTTTGCCAGTTTCGTGAATCATTTGTTTTTGCAGTACTCTGTAAACAGTGATATGAGAAGACTACTAATTAAACTAGTAGAATGCCATGCGGAATATGAGGAAGAACTCATTCATCAGGTGCGAGACAAAATTATCAATGACAATAGCTTGATAATAGTATATTTAATAAGGAAATGTATAAATATGAATGCAGAAATGGAAGATAGAGTTTTTTATTAGACTGCTCCTGTATATTTATTTCGACAAAGAAATAGTTCTTTCGGTTTAAATAAATTTGAATTCATGTTACAGTCTTTCAAAATTTTTTAGGTGGCATCATTATTATCATCCCTTCTCTCTAATGGTGTTGCATCTGCTACATCTGGCTCGTCATCGAAGGCATTTCTACCCCATCCACCACCACAAATAGTTTCAGTGATTCAGGTGTCTGTTGAAAAGTACGTTTTCTTTGCTAAATTTGTATGTAATACACATTTTATTTCAGATGTTATCAAGGTTGTTACCATTTCCTCCATTGTATATAATTGTCCCTTTAATCCTGTTCGTGACTAGACGGTTAAAGGCGTCTAGAAATTTTTCATTCACAATACTGTTCATTTGATTTATGTATGTTGTATCTAATTTTATTTTGAGCTTTCTATCAAAATAAGTAAATTTTTACTATGGTTTGTAATTTTTGTACACTTTTCATAATTTCAGTATTGCGGTCTTTGTTCTAGTCCGACATTCTTTATACTTCGTAATTTCTGTTGAAAACTTACGAATGGACGCTCTCCCATCTTCAATGACGATGTCAATGCTTGCAGTCAATTTTAAAGTACTTCAGGGAATCGTTACAAATAGGAAATTCATTCTCTGGATAGATTTAACTCATCTGAAATCGAAACAGATTGTATGTATTTTTGTTTTAATTCACGTTTTTTTTTCTTTTTTTTAGTTCAGAACTTTTATAGTTCGTTCCTACATTTTTTAATGATTTAAATTTAGAATTCTCTTAGATATTCAAGGGTGATTTCTTTCTTTTAACACTTTTTCAATAATTCAAGTCCAGAATTTTTACCAGATATTCGTTTTTTCAAACATTTGTGGTTATAATCATTTTGCAAATTAGTGCGGAAGTGATCGTTTAATGATGCGTCTTTCTCGATTGCCATCATCGTGGGAATGGATTCTTTTAGCTGAATCACCAGTGACGTTGGTTTGGAGTACTAGTGCTCATATTGCTTTTTTAGAAACATATCGGTACATATTCTTGACAGCTTTCTTTAACTATGGAGGATTTTTGAATTTAACATTGGTTAATTAAAGCATTCTTTTTTTAAAACTACAAGGTAATTCATTTTCTATCCTTCACTATGTGACGTTTTCCAGTTTTCTTTACAGAGGTTTAAGACGAGTCTTTGGATTATTCATACAGAAAGCGTCTCTTGGAGTATTAAGGCAATTTCATTTCACGGTAGAAACATCTAATTCGGTAACAATGAAGTTTCATCTACCCAATGATCATATGTATGTCATCCTTTATTTTATTTTTCGTAAGTTCATTTGTAAATTTTGTAGTATTGTTATTGAAAAAAATTTTCTTTTTAAGCATGTGTCTCGAAGTTCCGTCATTACATATACGGTATATGGATCATCTGATGATTGAAATGCCTCAGTTTGTAGCTTCCCTAGATGGACATCCTATTCTAACGATTGAGGTACGCTTTATAACCGTAACTCTTAATTTCAATTTGAAAAAAAAGTATTTGTTGAAATTCATGAAACTTTTAGTGTTCTGAAAAAAAGGATTATTTTTCAGAAGTTTCGGGTCCAAAAACAGATGTTCGATGCCGGAATGGATATAGGTAGAAGTGAGTTTAAGAATCTTAAAAATCGAACCAATAAAGTTTGGATGTGGTCTGCTAACGCGGTTATATTTGTCTTCCCGTACAATTATAATTTTGCTGCCTGTTATGATGAGGTGTGTTCAGTTGGTTTTTCAAAGTAGAATATGTGAATATTTGAAATGATTGCGAACTATATCTCATTCAAATCAAGTCTGCAGTTATGAACTGTTGCTAAAAAAAAAGTTGCTTTGATAGACCATGATTTCATGTCTTATATTTACTTCATGTACTTCTTGGCTCAAATCTTTTGATATTTGTAAGATAATCAACGTTTGGAAATGGATGAAATTGGTGCATAACTGGGTAAGAAAACCATTCACTGTAGAAAGTCCACTTCCTTGTGATTTACGGTTTTCAATTAAAGTAAGGTTTCTTAACAAATAATTTGAAGCAAAATAGATTACAGGAATTTGTCTCAAACTTGAAAAACAGATGGCAAAATTTTGAGAATTATTTTCCTCTGAAATTAAAACTTTTCTCATGTCTTATATGTACTGTGCAGGTTGTAAATCAGTTATACCTTTTAGAATAATATTTTTTCAAAATTTGTCCTTTTCTTTCTTAAATTTGAAGATCAAGAAATCTTAAAATGATGGAAAAAAGGTTTCGATGAACTTAATTATTTTGTTCTGCTGTATTTATGCCTGTTTATGTAGTGGCAAAAATTCTAGAAAGCCTCATTACAAATCAACGATGATCCTTTTGAAGTGCAATTGCAAAATAATTATGAACTGATGGTCGATGAAGTTTATGAATGTGAACGTCGACGACAAATGCTGGATCAGAAATTAGAGCAGCTTCAAAAAACACGCCCTTTTCTATCACGTTAATATTTTTTTACAATTGATCATTTATTTTTTCAGTCGTCATTTTTTATCTACTTTAATCACTTCAGAATCAAAGGCGGATGAACTACATAGATCTTTAATCAAGAAAAATGCTGAAATTTACATCGAGCGGTCCAAGAAATTGCCCAGTTCCAGAAAGCATATATTTTTATGGTCAATCACCAATTTTGAGGTCAAACTGATATTTATTGGCATTTTGAAATTTTCTCAAAGTATTTCTCTTATTTTGATAGATAACGTTGAAAAAAACTGTTTTTATCTAAGCACTGTGTTATTTTTTCTTAAGCATTTAATGGCCAAAATATCTGCAGATTCATGCTTATGCAGATCTTACCTTGCATGGGAAGGAAAATGCACTTAATCATCTAAAAGCATTCAATCCTGAATCGTGAGTTCTGCTTTATATTAATATTGTGAGCTTGGCAGTCTATTCTTTCATGTTATATAATTCTTGTATATCGTGGCAGTTTTCTGAATATGGATGGATATTGAGTAAATCAACTTAATTTTGGTGCAATAATATTGGAGACATTTTTCCGAAAGTATTTTTGAAAATTAGATGAAAAGTTTAGAAGCACAATTTTTTATTTATTTACAGTAAACCAAATATTTCCTACTTCTTCTGCAAATTTAAGGCTATTTTCCGTCGAAGATATGGAATTCATCACATTGTGGGCACGTGCGATTGAAGTGGATTGTGATAATTGGGTCATGCAATTTCGAGATTATCCGTTACCGTATGTTCTAATGAAAGACGCGCATTTTTGGGGCTATTTAGTTGGAAGTGAACAACTGGCTGGTATTTTATTTTATAATAAACCACTATTTACGATATGAGATGAGCACTGTGCTTTTTACTCATAAAAGTACTCTTAAGAAATCCATAGTTTCATATATCATATTTAGATATTCAAGTATTCAGATATAAACTTTGTTAATAAAAATTCATTTTATGCGTGTGTTATTTTTTAAGAATTTTTTTCAGGATCGCGATCGATAAGGACAAGTATTATATCGTTGCCGGAGCCTTGGGGACATTATATTATTGAACGAAATATGTGTCCTTTGAAATATTATTACGACCTTTCATCTGGTGTTTTTTTTGCTTAATTATTGATTAGTACCATTTTTTAGGCAGTTATTAAGTTAATTGGTCAGTTCAGTATATTTTTGCCATTTTGATGAATGTCACATCGAAAGGCCGTAGCATCTGTAATATTCATAATGAGCTAGTCAACAAGTAATATCAGCAGTGATAGTGAAAAAAATATTATCTGAATAAAAGCAATTAAAAAGTATCATCTAAAGAAAATAAAAATATAATATTATCTGAATTATGCTTATTCAGAAATAAAGGAATTGAACTGCACTTACGGTCCTTGTTGGGAGCCATGCTTATCAATGATAAGCCTTTGTTGGAATAATGTCAATGCCCCATCAAGGTATTCGAATAATTTGTGATAGGAATCATATTATATTTCTAGTGACAAAAACTGTGCAGTGAGATTTTAAAGATAACGTCGCGGAATCATGAACTATTTCATACATATAAATTACATTTATCATAAGTTTTCGTATTATTCTAGTGATCCGAGTCCGCCATTGCCTTTCTGGGATAAAATCCGACTTCTTTTTCATGGTCGATTTTCTATGCTTTGCCATTCTTTGGTTACATCTATGCTTGCTTCTACGGATCCCTATAATTCTACAGAATTGGTAGAAATTTGTTGGAAGGAGTTTGGATTCGACTGGATTACAGGTAAAATAAACTTCTATCGAAGTTTTTCCAAGTTGACTTAATATTCTTCTTATCTAATCCGCTGTTCTCTCTTTTCAACCTATCCTACTCAATGTTGGATAAATTAGAATGATAAAACTTCTGATGACGGTATTTTGTTTGTGATTCTAATTAAACTTCTTGAACTAAGAATCAAAAATTATGCGTAATTTAGACCAGTTTTGTGTGCAAACCGATGTGGATGCGTTCGTTCGAACAGCTTCGAAATATGATGAAAGTCGTGTCTTACATTTGCCAGGATTTAAATTCATTGTAAAAATGGATTGGAAATGTATCGGTGATTCGCATGATCATCACAATGTTTCACCATGTGCTCCTGATAAGCTTCCAGAGTACTCTTCTACGAATTTGGTAACCTTGGTTTCTGAATCTTGTGAAATCGGAAAAAAGAGATTCTTAGTTATGGAAATTAAGTTTTAAAGTTATCTGGTTCGTTTAGATCATTTACTTTCATGAAACTCGAAAATTTCTGAGAAAATGTCGTTGAGATATTCTCTTTCTTAAATGTAAACGATTTAGAAAGTACTATAGTCGGTTTCTGTACTTTGTTATTTCCTTTTGCATACATGAAGTACCTTCGCTTGCAGGAGCATGATTCCTATCGCGCATTTCGTTCTACTCATCTTAACTTAGTTTTGAATTTGGAAGTGAAACAGCAAGATGGCTCTGTTACAAACAGCCATTATCCCCAGATTTTGCTATATGCTAACACTTTTCGGTGGCTTGAATTTCTTAAGGTTATTCCATCTGTTCCTTGTAATCTCAGTAGTTGGTGCAATTTTTTTTGTTTACCTTAAGCACTGCTGTTTCTTGCCTCTAGTACATGCTAAGAATATTTTTGTTTTCATTTTTGCATTTGAGACTGTCATTTTTGCAATATTTTATTAGAGTAGTTACTTTAATTGTCAAAAATTGATCTGTTTTATTAAATCAAACAATATTCAAAATATTATTCAAGAACACGATGACAACAGTCAACAGGCCTGTAAAGCGTGGTCGACTTTTTAGTGAGAATAAAACTAAAAGGAATCAACTTAGTCGACATTTGAAGTAAATATTATATTTTTCACAATTTTCTGGAAATTTCCTTCCAAATTTTAAAACTAATTCATGACTTTTTGGTTGAACTTTAAAAATGAATCAATGGAAGAAGAAGGGCTAAATCTTGACACACGGTTCTCTATTTGCAAGTTGTGGAAAACAGTTCACCTATTTTTTTTCATCTTGTTTTTAGGCATATTCAGTTAAGTGTCACGCTTCCTCGCTTTCTAATTACATATTGGATGTCTTACGCTTCTTCGCATGGTTTACGAATGATTAGTGAAAGTTTGCATTTAACTTCATCAATGGAACTTCATATTTTGCAAAACAGTGACCAAAAGGTAATTTGTTCCAAATTTTTGCATGTCAATTAGTTTTAGGCAATTTTATTTCTGAAATGAGATGTTATATTGTTAGTGAGCTGACTTGTACTTGGAAAATTGATTGATGCTTAAGGAAAAGATCTGATATTACACATTATAATTATTGAAAATATTCATTTTAAGGATGGTATCAATAGAAAACGAGTAGCTAAATGGTCAGTTTTATATGTGTCGGCTCAGCTTTTAAATACACAAATCCATCTTTTTGGTGCCGATTCGCAGAAAATTGTTCCTCACGTTGATGACAATACATTTTTTATTGGATTAGATCGACTTTCGTACACACGTGAAGCGCAATCGAAGGTTCACTTTCTTATGATATCAAAAATTTTCATTTTAAGAATAATGTCTTGTTTGGTATGTCAAATTAATTTTTAAGTGTGTATCAGCAAACGTTATCAGTTTCATTTTTTGGTTATCTCTAAAATGAAGTTAATACAGCCTTCATTTTTCATCAACAGCATAGTTTCCGAAATTGTATTTCTGATAATATAACTCGCATATTTTTCACATATGATGGTTGGAATGACAATGGGTTTGTTACCTAGTATTTGAATTACAGAATAAACTTAACGACGGAAAGTTTAAATTATCAGAAAGTGATGAAGCTGTACATCGACTTACAATTCATGATTTGCGTGCCTCATGGACTCCTGAAAATCGTGACACTTGCTTAGCAATTGCTGATGGTATCCATAATGCCCATATTTTACGACGAATCTTGGGAACGGATGCTCTGAAAACGCCTAGTGTCACTTTTTCAATATTATTATAGTAGAATTGGTTTAATCAGTCTCATGATCTTATGTTATTAGCATTATTATTGCCGTCGATTATGAAGTTACTATATTGTTATAGTTGACGAAAGCAGGAGTTCGACCATCGCCAACAGGCATTTTAAATAATACAGAAGCATCGAGATCAAACATGAAATTTCCACCTGACTCTGATAAAAACAGTCGGTAAGTAATTAAGGGCTTATATGCTCATTACTTATCCATCTCTTATTTGTCAAAATGTTAAAAGCCATCCACCAAAATAAGTAGTGAGCAACAAGAAGAACAAGGTTTTCCCATGAACCTAATTTTGCAGCTAGCTAATTTTTTTCTATTGTTATTTATGCGGGTGCAGTTTGCATGTCGCATGAATCATTATTTTTGTCGGTTTGATCTATTTATTTTCAGGTCGCCGTTTGGTTATGATGGACGAATAACGGAGGAAAATGACATGTTGCAGAGATTAATTGATGAGGCTGGTACAAAGCTTGTTGCTTATGACGAAGAGGTCCTTTATTTATATCTTTTTTTCTAGTCCTAATTTTATCGCTTCAATGAATAAATAATTCCTACGGAAGTATGATGTGTTGTCAGCAAGGAAAAAAGACTTCAGCATAACCATTGTCAATTAAAAATGACCAAAATTTGGAAACGAGTTTCAGTTACCTTCTATATTTCAGACAACTGATGTCCCTTCAGATATGTTACAAGGAATAGCTCTATGTACTGGAGATGATTTGGTGTTAATAAATTGGCAAAGTTAGTGGATTTTTGTAAAGTTTTAGTGTTCAAAAGCGGCACATAATTTTTTCCATTATTCCAGTTGATCTTATTAACAGTCAAGCTGTATTACGAGGGCAAGGGAAAGATGGATTTATATTATTGACCGCTGCTCATGCATCTGTCACGCAGCGCGTCCATGCATTGGTTTGGAAGAAATCACAGTTACTGAGCAAGAAATCATGGTGTGCAACGCTTTCAGGAATGCAGGTTTTTTAATTATGCTTTTCAGGAATTTTGTAATATTGTTATGGATCAAAAAGTCTGCATATTCAGCACTGTTCTTGTGCTTATTTGTGTTGAAAAAAAATTGATTACTAGTCTTTTTAGTATTTCGCACCTTTGGTCATGTCTCAACACTCCAGTCCATCGGAACCGATCTCTAATGGCTTCCATTGGCTGAATCGGGACATTATTGAAGAAAAAACGTGTAGTGATCCTAATGTTAGTGATCGTTTAAATCCTTACATCAGCACTGGAGAAGCTGTTGGCGGTGTGGTTGTTGGTAAGAAACCATTTATTTATATGTATTATAGTACTACTGGCATTTTGAGAATTAATAGCATTTGAAAACTTTTTACATGATATAAAGAGTTTGATTAATGTTGACTGATTTTCTTGTACATTTTCCGAAAGTTGACTTAACATAACATTGAGGTTGATTTCAGATCATGGTAATGTAGCACAAACTGACGGGAAACCTCAGTTGCAAAGAGTTGTTTCAAGATGTAGTTGTCAAATGTATTTTTGTTATTTCTCGGACACACTGGATCTTGATACGCATGAAATCCCCTATTCCGTCAGTCCAGTAAATCTAAAACTTAATAAGGATTCATATAAGTTTATTAGATAAAAACAGATTTATTAATTAAGTTACACACGCATAATCTATCTATCCATTTGCTCATTTACGTATAAATTTACGTTTATTCGTTTGCTTACTTGTTTATTTGTTTATGTACATATTTGTTCAGTTATTTTTCATTTATTTATTTATTTAACTTAATCAATTTGTTACCTTACTTAACATAATTATTTTCCTAACTTATATCTTTATTTGCTTCTATTTTTGATTATTAATTTAATTCAATTAATTGATTAATTCATTCTTTTCCATTTTATCCATTTGCTTAGATTAATCCTAATTCATTCTTCTAAATTATTTAACAATTCTAATTTACAGATTAGTGAGTGCAATGAACCAGGGGAAATTTGGGGTCAGCCAGAACCAGTTGATTGTTTTACTCTCAAACACAATATGCTTGAAGTTCGAGTTTTTCAATGTTTATATTTATTTTCAATATTCTGCCGGTATTAATCGATATTGTTTTGCTAGGGCTACATTTTAGGTCAGTACTAATCCGGAGCAGTATCAAATGGTAATGAATATCGTGAATCAGTTAGTTTTGTTTGTGGACCCACGAAAGAAAGAAAGTGATCGTAGACGACAACGGCTGCATTTTGAGTTGCAACTCAAAGATGTTGATGAAGTAAAATCAGCCATTTTTGCCATGCAGGTTTGTCATTTAAAGACATTCCCCTTATTAGATTGGACGAAATTTTAATTCTGATGTTATCAGTTGATGGTTTGAACTCTTCTTTTATATCCCATGAAATGGAAAAAAGTACGTATAGCAGTCATACTTTTTATTTCATATACTTTATTGAAAGCTATAATTTATTTGTAGAATATTTATATAAGTATAGCGCTTGAAAAAATCACAGGCTGAATTAAGAGATGTCATCGCTGTCATTCGCTCTCTGGAAAGGCGTTTATTCTTTTTGAACAGACAGCTGCAGGATTCAGAGAATGATGCTGCGTATGCTGTTTTTTTCTTTACTGTTTTCTATCATAAGTTGACAGCAATATTTGCTTACCACATTTTTAGAATAATATTTTTCATATCATCATCTTCATGAGAAAATAATTCTTGTCTTCTCGTATTGTAGAATTAAAATTTTTAGAATACTGGAAGCGAACAGATCCGTAACAGCAGATATTGATGAGCTGAAACAAAATCAAATTGTTCTTTGTGATGAGTTAGCATTGACTATTAGGTAAGCTTTCTACACATTTAAATTATGTAAGTTTGCAATTCATATTCTTTCTGAATGAAATTCCAAAAATTTGTTTGAAAACTCCTTTCTTTTTATTCTTGAGTAGATATTTTGGATTTAGTCGTGAAATTTTGCATAAAAAACACAAATTCTTCAGTAATATATGCAGTAAATGAAATTTAGTTGTTATAAAGAGAAGCAAATGGAAATAATGCGACATTTGGTTGATGCTGCTGAAGACGAACAAGCTCCTGTTGCTAGAAGGTTTTTGCTTTGAAAACTTTGCATAACGAGTCTTCAAGCATTTTTACACAATTATTTGATCTCAAATTATAGTTTCGATTCATATGCACTGTATATAATATCATAAGATTTTCGAGAAGAAGAAACTTGTAGTACTGATTTCATTTTCATTTGTTCACTATTCAGTCAGCCATTTTGCAGATTCGAAGTATGCTTCGAAGATTGCATTTGGAGACTTACAGAAAGTGATGGACAAATTGCACTTGCTGAAATGCAAATTCGAAATTTCTTGTAATGATTCACTTATATATCGAATTTATTGACACAAAATTATCCATTGGCAGTCATATGGAAATATTTTAGATATACACGCACAGCTCGTATAGATAATTCTGGTGAGCATTTGCTGGAAATTGGAACAGTGCAAGTGACGAACTTGCTTCCTGACACACTTTATAAGGTTAATACTTTGAAGTAAATATCATTATTACATTGTGGTTTTTATAAAGCTTATTGGCTTGTGCATTTTTATTAAAGCGTTTTGTATTACCAAGAATTTTTTCGCAAGTGAATTTCATTTCTACTGATCATATATCTTCTGGTGATTTAGTTTTGCAAGATTCGGAAATTTTTGTAAACAAAAGCTAAATTTCCAAATTTCATGAAGTTTATTTCTATCACATATTTTGCTCCGTTGGAAGTGATATTGGCACAAATTACATAATTTTATCAAGAATTTTTTCAGCATACTTTGCAAGCTCAGAACACTTCGCGAAGAAAAAATGATCGTCAGTCGGAATCAATTCGAGTTGTTTGTCGTGAGAAAGCACCAGGTGGATAACTCATGATTTTAATTTAATAGATTTTTTGCTGGATATGCAATAGCACTCAATCTTTTTTATTTCATCTTTTATTGATCAAACGCATTATGATTAGTAATGGTCAAACTATTTACTTTTGTATTTTAACTGTTCATGAATTATTTCAGTTGGAGGGATTTCGGTTAAAGAACATTTCGAAATAAACGTTTCGCCAATGAATGCTCAAATTACTTATAAATTTTTTGAAAAAATGATGGGATACTTTTTTCCTGGTCGCAATATTGATAAGGAAGATCAGCGAAATCTTGACACTAATGAAGAACCTCCAAATAATCAAGTAAATTCATCTAAAAATTTGGTTTAATGAAAATGTTCGTTATTATTCAAGTTGTTTCAGCTTTTCTTTGCCAGTTAATTTTTGCTCGTAATTGAGATCACTTATTTTCATTAGAGTGTAAATTGGTAATGAAATTTAAATTTATCATCAATAGTATCGAGTGGTATTCAAACTATGAATACATTAACGTCTTACTTTTGCAGGGTGTTTCAGTTAGCCAATGGTTACGCGGAGCAATGAATGGATCATTTAGGCGGACAAACGAGTCGGGTCAATTGCGGGATGATATCGATCGTATGAAAGAGCGGGCTCAAGAAAATAATGTTTTTTTGTATATCAAAATACCAGAAGTGCCTTTTATCGTCTCCTACAAAGTGAGAAAATCATGAAAGAAATATGCTATTTTGTATTTCATTTACTCAATAATTACTGTTCATAGTAATTGTAGGTAAAGTAATCTGACCTTATTTTCACAACTTTTTTTAACATGATTCCTTCTTTTTATTTTTTATTTTTCCTTTTTTACTTATATGAACGCTAAAGTTCTGATTAGTTTATTATATCTTCTGATACATGAAAATTTGTGAAAGTCTAAATTATTTTCCTTCTAGTTTTATTTTCTATTTTTTAGGGAAATAAAGATAAGAATATTGAAGATGTCGATAGGTTTCAATTAGTATTTCCATTATGTGAATATCATGAGAAAAACTGGACTTGGCTAGATCTTGCCTTAGCAATCAAACAGCGATGTCGACGGGTATTGCTTCAGCAAGTTAGTTTTTAGTAGGACTTAAATTCCTCGAGAGAATATTTTTTTAAAATTTCTTTCAGTAGCTCTTGAATGCAGCACTCTCATTTCAACAGATTTCCTTCGTGATGTAAATTAGTTTCCTGTTTTATATTTGTAAGTTCATAAAGCGTTCTTGATCACGTGAATTGCTGGTCATTTCATCAAGTTATTGAGAACATTGTTCTTTGAGCAGTTTTTATTCAGTAAAACAATTTTGTGAGGAAGACTATGTTACTGATTGATCTTATCAATTACAATCAGTTTTAATTTATTTAAACAAATAAAAATTATTGAAGCCTAATTTTTGAGCCTTTTTCAGTTCATGAAGCAGAAATTATTACGTAACCGTTTGACAGGTGTTGAACATGCAGCAACTGAAATAGACGAAGAAGAAAAGAAACGAATTGTCCTTGGCACGGTATGTTTGCAAAATATCTCTAAGATTATGTTATTATCCAAAACTTTTTTTTGTTCTTAAGCTTGATGAAGGTACAAAATATGTTCTATTACAGTGTCACGTTTCATAAATATTTTTAAGGCTGCTATTCCGCTGAAAAATAAAAAGAAGAAAAATGCATGACATATATCTACAATCCCTTCGCAAGTCCAGATCAGTTTTGTAGTTCTATTTACATTTAACAAGATTTTTGATTTTTGTGCCAGGCATAACTTGCTCTATGATCTCCATGATTCCATTTTTATCGCATCTTTAAAAGAAAAACTAAATTGTCTCGTAAGCAGTTTTTTCATATATGAAGTACATTGTCAGTCAGCTACTCCGCCTTGCCATATACTTTTGTATTCTGTTTTCGTAGATCTTTCAAAATTCAATATGTATATAATTTAATTCACATTAACTCCTTTAAAAATGCTTATGAAATGCATTTACCAAGTGCTTGAGAAATGCTGATCTTGTTGTTTACGAGCTGTAAAAGTATCTGCAAATTTGACGCTCCATTATAATTGTATAAAATAAATCGAAACAGTCTGTTCGACCTGAGGCTTAATTTGATATGAGTAGCTTTCATTTCGCCTTTGTAGTTTGCTGAGAACTTGCTTAATATGCCGTTATCAATCAAAATTAGGACATGAAGAAACCACCACTTATTCCACATTTACTGAAGCAAGCACTTTTACCATGTAGAACAGAGACATAATATTTATTACTAAGATTATAAAGAACGAGTCGTTAATAAAAATGCCGAACCATACTGTCACAGATATTTAAAATCCACCATACTGTCACAGATATTTAAAATCCCAAACATGCTATTCTATCTAGATTTAGTCTCATAAAGGTCTCAGAACTCAGTAGTGATTTTTGATCGTAATTCCTTACCCATTTTGATAGCTTTAACAAAACAGTCCATAAAATATTTCACACTTTGCGTTGAATCATCATTGCCGGGTATTGGATATGTTATATATGTTGGATCAGAGTTTGAATCGACGACACCGACTGTTGGTATCACCATTTTTGCTGCTTCTCTTACTGCCGGATGTGTCTCTAATACCTGTAATCATAAGATGTTCAAGAAACAGTCATAAAATGATCTAGCAGAGCCGAAGTACTTTAAAAAGATTGAAACTAATGTGGCCGAACCGATGTTAGTGTTGATAGAAATATAATGGTATCAGGCAGACGTACAGGTGCGCCAAAGATTGCTTTTGAATTAAGTAAAGTATCTTGCTGCCAAATCCTTACATGAGCGAATTCACCTATTCCTAGAGCTTGCTGCTCAACCATCAACATGTTATTCCTGCAAAAAAATATAGAAGCAATGCTGAGTCTTCTACATATTGAGAGGAATGAAGAAAGAAACTCCGCTTGTGATCATTTTTATTTTCTTCAAACTAAATAAAAATTCTGCAATTTTTTTTACCTTTCTGTTGTTATGAATAAAAACATTCCACCTCGCATTGCTATCTGAGCAACGAAGTTCAAAGCAATAATTAGGCTTTCGCGAGTTTTTTGTAAATCAAAGATGCATACGCCTAATCGCTCACCAAAAAGTGACCACTTCATTTTTTCATTTACTGTTCCAACCTATAAACGGCTAAAATGCTGTTTAAGCGATAACTTTTCGTAAGCTTTAATTTTATTGCGGAGACTAAAAGATCTAGATGATAAACCCACAATAATTCCAACCTTATGGCCATAGTGTATCCTTGCACGGAACAAATCATCTATTGTAACCATTTTCTTGAAACCAAATTGATCCCTATTTTTCAAATCGTCATCAATAAAATCCCTAAAAGATAATTCTCGATGAATATGTAGTTACCAAGTGTTTGCGTGCATGGCTAGTGTGGAATAATACTTTTGGCTGAAATGGCAGTTGAGAGAAAGCAAACCAATCCCGCTTTATCCTCAAAATTCGAGAAAGATTTATTGACTTACAAAAGTAGAAGCGGATGAACAGTAGCTTTTCGAAAGGCTTCTGCATCAGGTTCCTTTGCTGATGATGAATAAGAATGTAGTGAATGTTGTGATACTGTAGTAAGTCTCCGAAGAAATAGTGACTTTGACATTTGGAATAGTAGTCTTCACAATTCAATGACTGAATTCAAATAGAGCCTTCTGTTGCTCATCTTGCTTTGTATCATAAAAAAAGCCAATTTTTAAAGTAGAAAACAGAGGAGGCAGGCTAAATAGAAAGTCCAAAAATTATACAGAAAAGATTTGATCACTTATCAAAGAATCACAACTAACAGCAAAGTAAATCGAAAAACGATATTATTGAAAACAAGACAGTGTATTCATCGACTTTTTTCTATACAATAATCAATAACTTAAGCCAGCACTTTAAAGGGAAATAACTCTCAGTGATTACAAACAATATTGACTTCTGAGCCATGTTTCATTACATATGAATGATGAATAAAAGAAATGCGAAAACGCCATAAAGAGAGATTAATAATTGGTATGAATTCGTCAACCATGACAATCAATTCATGTAAGTTTTTAGAACTAAGAATATGATAAAAATTGAAGAACTGAAAAAGCCTTCTAGCATTATCATGTTATTCGGAAAATATTCAAAATCATATAAGCACAGAACATTAAAAATACATATAAGAAGACACACGTTTAAAAACTGACTTTCTTTGACTCACTGAAGTACAGTTGCTTTCTTCGAAACTAATATCAGAATGAATTCTTGAAAAATACAGCAGCAATGAAGTGAATCAAAGAAAGCAGATAAAAAGAAATAAATCAGAGAAAATTAGGTTAAAAATTAAATTAAATTTCTTTTAGTTTAATTTATGTTATGGCAATGGCAGGTCTAGAATTGAACTACTGGCCTATAATTTTTATGAGAGCTGTATGAATGAATTATCTCACAAAATTGGCATGATTAACAGATCAAAAACATTTAGCATGACAAAATATCACAACTTTCTAAACTTGCAGGCATCAAAGTAATGAAATGAATTAAACTGAAAGATATCAAAACAAAGCTAAAAAGTCTTAATTTTCAGACAATTTTGAGCAAGGGATACATGCACAACATGTCGCTACTGACGACGAAATTGACTTGGGACTGAAAATAAAAAAATAATACCAAATGATTTATTTACTATTAATTTACAAAAAAATAAGCAAAACAAATGCTTTCGTGTGTTACGAATTACATGATGAAATTAAACTATTATAAGTTTGTATTTGAAAACTAAAAAGGAAGCCAAACCTCATTTTTGCTACCAGAAGAAATAATACGTGAAACAACGGCATTATTTCTACATATCCGAGCAATACCAGCAGCTTCTTTAGCAATTTGATCATTACCATTTAAACTTTCTAATTCGCCTCGAGCCCAATCAAATGCATCTGCTGCTAATGCAAAACACTTAGCTCCTCCAAGCGACCGTAGTGTCTCTATTCTGAAATGCAAGTAATTTTAACATCTTATGCAGAAAAATTATCCATAAGCATGCCGTTCAAATCATTTCTCATCTGCAGTCAGAATAAGGAATTTTTAAAAACATAAAAACCACACGAAATTTAGATGCAGATTGTACACTTCGGCATTAATTTCAAAAAAAGCAAAACTATGTACAATGAAGATAAACACTTTTTTTGTTCCATTTTAAATAATTCTTATGAGAGAAATTTCAATTAATCACTATCAGAAACTAATTTTAAAATTCGTCAAAAATTGAATTCTTTCAAAACTATCAAAACCTTGAACTATGGATGTATTGTGCATATTCGACAAAAAGTGCGATACCAAAAGTAACTGAGTTTAGAGTAGCAAAGGGTAACATTCGATGCTCGAAACGGAATCGTTCCATATTAGTCAGAGGCACTCGTATCTTATTCATTGTAATCAAAGCAACAGCTACCTATAAAAACCTTTACAAGATAACAGTGAAGCTAACATACAAATGTGGCACTAAACTAAATTAAAGACCGGTAGAATGTAAATAGCAAGACAAATCCCATGTATATCCAAGTAGCGTAAAAAGTAAACTCTCTAAAAACAAACACAAAGATCAGATAACGATAAATGAAAGTAAGCAAAAAATTTTCCTTATGAACTACATACTATATTAGATAAATTAATCCAATACACATAAATTATTCAAGTATCGAACACAACAAAAAGACTTGAACAAATAGAAGGAATTACAAACCATGAAAAATGCTTCAGCTACTTTTGCTTGTGCACGATAGAACAATCGACACCTTTGACTCTCACTTGCTTTTCTCTTCATTTCAATTTCCTTTTTACATTTCGATACTTTTTTACGCTCCGCTTTTTTACGCAACTTCGATACTTAAATATTTTCGACAGTAGTTTCTGCCAATTCATTTTAAAGCATACAAACAGATTCCTTTTTATTTCGTTATAAATGCCAAGCAATCATCTTCCTGGCATTTCTGTGTAATTTAATGCCGTAACCAGCAAACTTCTAATTCTTATCATAAATCTTCATAAACGGTAATAAAAATTTAGATAAAGTAAAAATGCTTACTTCTTTTTTCACCAGCAGCCACAAGATTAATAGAACGATCTAACATATTTACCAACCACTTGAATATTACTTCGCTTAAACACCTAGAAGTTTGTATAAATTGCTACCACTTAGTTCAAAAATAATGCAGTTATAAATGCATAAGAGAGTTCAATATTCATAATTTAACGTAATTGTTAATGCCAACTGTTTAGCATTATGACCGCAATAGAAAATCGCAATACTTAAATTCCCTTTCTTGATTTAAAAGATCACAATTTCCATGAAGTTTTGTTTGAAGTGGAAGTAAAAATGCTTTCATAGGTAAAAAGAACTAAAATAGTTTACGCAGTTGCACACGGAACTTTATTTAAGATATAAATGCAAAATGCTTACCAATAAACATATGGGTACTCGAACGAAACAAAAAGATTCAGATAAAATGATAGATAAAAGTGATATTTTATCAGAGATAATAAATGTAACGTCACAAAAGAAGATAGAGACAAATTTTCCGAAGAATCCTGTCGAAAGCCACACAATTCCAATGCATTTTCTGTTCGTTCAGCCTGAGATAAAACAAATTCTAAGTAATTCCAAAAATCTAATCTAACATGTTTATCAATTGATAAAAAGGCACTCATTATTTATAAATTCATAAATAATGAGTGCTATTTACCTCTACTTTGAATATATTAAAAATGTCTGTATGACTAATTTTTCTAAATTTCTTCGTTACATCCAAGCATACATCACACGTATTTTAAAAACAGATACATCAACCAGTGATGAGAGCACTGCACGCTCTAACTACTATTAAGTGCTTAATGTAATAAACTACTTAAGACCTCATGCTTCTCGTGATCCCAATTTCAACAAACTCATCGCTACATAAATCTTCAGCACTGAAATGCCAAGAAAATAGTTCAAGCATAAATATATAAATTAAGAACAAACTTCAGCCTGTAGTGTAGAAAAATCCTCGATACAAAAGAGAATTTTCTCACGTTGTCTAGAAAGATTAAGCCCAAACATCTGAATTACTTCAAGAAATGCTTTTACTGAATCAGTTACAAATTCTTCCCAACATTCACGACAGTGTTCCACATTGAACATTTGGCTCCTGCAACCAGAAGTGAGTCATTCAGAAACTAAAACTGTGGTAATATCAAGATAAGTGTCAGTTACAGAACAATTTCCTAAATTTCCTGTCAATAGCAAGCTATCGTAATTTGAAAAAGTTAAAAATCTTTGGTTTTTGGATAAAAAATAAAAAACAATTCTCTGAAAGCTTCATTCAAGATAAGTGTATGAACAAAGCTTTTTTCATCAAAAAACTGTATTTAAAATTTACGATGGATCGAGAAATGACGGTGAAGAAAACATTCGAATTGAGTCAATAATTATTGCAGAAAATTGTACGTAACCAAACAAGTTGTCATCATTAGGAAATAGAACCATTTGTAACAAAGAACGAGACAGTACACAACTGTCTTCCAGACTGAATAATCGTAAATAATCCTGAAAGCTTAAAATAAATATCCTTAGAACATCCAGAAAAACCAATGAGATTTTTTAAATTATAAGACAAAATTCTCCGACTCTGTGTGTATTGAGTAGCATTAAAAAGGAATAAAGTTACAAAAAATTAGTAATTAAAATCTATAAAAATTAAGTAAATATTTTCGAAGTGCACAAGCTTTTTAGGCAACTTTACAGTATCACTTTGAAATAAATCGAAATCATACAATAATATCTTCCACATTAGAGACTTTTATAGGTAAAACGGTAGCAATCGACAATATTTTCGAACAAAGTTTTTTAAACAGCTCTACACTCTTCACTCTACTTCTCATTTTTGTTTTACGCGGAAACGTAGGTGGTAGCTGCCTTCTATTAATATCAGGCTCAAATGCGGGTAGCCAAGCATAGTCATCTGAAATAAGAAAGCCCAAAAAATCCTTGAAATCTGTGAGCTGTTTAACTGTTAAACGAATCTGATGTATCGTGTGAATTAGATTACGCATCTTTTTTTGTGCACAATCTGATAAGTGTACTACGTTAGCAAACAAAACGAAAGAATAAAGATTTGAGCAAAAATATGAAATTTTGTTTCCAACAAAAAAAACCATATTGAAATTTAGTTAACCTCTTAATTAAACACAACGTACCATCATCTTTTCCTAATGGTTGCAACCCTAAAGACACTGTTGATTCTAATTTATCCAGAAGTAAACAAACAAGGTTCATGTGTACCGCACATTCTTCCAAATTAGGTCTACAAATTTCAGTTTAACAGTGCATTAAATAAAATTGATAGGTATGGAAAAAGTTTACACATGCCATGTAGAATCCTGCACGTAATAAAATCTATTAGACAAATAACATGTTCAAATAACTAAGCTAATAAGATAAACTCTTGAAAATGTTGATCTTCCAATATCTGTAATACTTGACAACTGACCTGAAACAATTATGAGAGGTTGGTCGAGAAGAATCACTTGCATGATACTGCACGGCAGGAAACTGCACCAAAGTACTTAAAGAATGAAGTGTAAGGCGAACAAACTGCAGACGATAAAGGATTGCATCTAGTAACTCCTGATTTTCTGGCTTTTGCTGAAGAAAAAAGCCACTCAATATTTTAATAAAACCATACACTAGATAAATTCATTTTACTAATATTTCCAAGCCAGTCAAAGTTGTTCTAATTATTTGCAAAAACAAAAAAACTTCTCATATTTGCCGTTTATAAATCTAGTATTCTTCACGATTCTATGAATTAGAAGCCTAAAAATAGAATGTACCTTAATTCTTTTCTGCAAATCGAATTCAGCAGCTTTCAACGAACTCATCAATTTAGGAAGCGTTAATAGTTGAAGTTGCATTGCATAACCGTTAAAATCTTCCTAAATTAATCAATTGGACCTCAGAAACCCTGTTTGATTTTAAAATAGAACTACTTTTGTATATCCAATATATTTCATAGCGAATCAAATTCAAAGAAGAAACATAAGTATTTCTATTCGATTTATGCACAAATTCTTTATAAACTTATAGAAGAGTAAGAAAAGATGCTTAAACAAATCAACGTTATGTGTACTTCTTCATAAACAGATGCCATCTGTATGATATGACGAAAAACTGCTGCGAGATGCAAAATACTATATGAAAAAGCTGAGAGTACGATATCTTTGACTTGATCCATATGATTCAAAAACACGCAAGTTAATAACTGCAATATGATGGTAATGTGATAAAGTGTTCATGTTTTTTACAACTCATTTACTAGAAAGAAATTAAGGGAAAATAAGAGAATACATTCAATGTTTCTTTATTAATTGTAAAAAAAATTTTTTTACTACTCAAGTGACGAAAAAATGTCTTTTAATGAATATTGTCAGATTAATGAAGAGCTTATTAATGTAAAGTTTACAGTTTGAGCGATAGAATTTCCTTCAAGCCATGAAATTAATGAAGCTAATAAAGCATCCATTGTTGCTATCAATTCTTGCTCATCCATATTAGTAACATTTAAACGATTAGAAGCTAACAAATTTTCAAAAGTTATAGATGGATCGAATGGTCTCATTCCAACATCCATTTTCGGGTCCATAAGCTCTGCAAATTTATGAACAAAAACCAATCCGTATCTCCAACGCATCTCTAAATATTTAAAAAACGTAACTTTCTGGTGGAATAAACAAATCATGAACAAACAGAAAATTTCAGTATAACAAATATTTATATAAATAACTACCATAGTTTAGAAATAGCCATCATGACAATAAATAAACTTGAAAATATTAATCATGGTATCGACAATAAATACAATTCTTAAAATTCTCTTCTTCGATCCACATAAATAAGAGCAAACCTATTGCGCTCATTGCTTCAGATAATTTGAAATCCTCAGCCATCACCAATTCTCCAATGCTTAATTCTAAAAATTTAATTTAAAAAACAGAATCATAGTAATGCCACTAAAGTCTTAACATTCAATTCTCTACATGTTGCTAGATCTTACACATGATTCTCAAATGCCATGTAATAGATCTTCCACTTACTTTTGCATGCCTTGAAAAACTCATCCGTTATATCAACACTTGTTGTGACTACCTTTTGCGATGGATGTGAATCTCCTTCGTCATTTCCTTTCGAAACAAGCGTCATATTACTACTATATATCCCCACGAGTTCTTCACTCGATACTTCACCGCCTTCGTTTACACTATTTAATATACATACATATGTATAACGCCCATTCATAGCAAACCAAACATGATATAGAACGCACGACGGATAAAATAATAACTAAATAAATTGAATCTTATATTTTGCAAATTTATCCGCTATTCCAGAAGACAAAATCAGGCAGAGGAATTACTCTTCATCTGAGAGATCTTAGTCTTAAATGCAGCTCTCCCGACATAAAATTACAATTATACATTTATACGGTCGTTTTATGCACAACACTAATCGTACTGACACACTGCATTAACCTCTTGCGTACCTTTAAAAAGTCTCATACAACATGATTAGTGCCTTAATCTCAAATATGAAAATTCGAAACAAAAAGATTCAACAAATAAATCAAAACAGTTGTCAGTCAGCGGTGATGATTACTTGTACTGATGCCATACAAACTACTAATCTGGATACTAAAAGCCAAAACTATATTCACATAATTTTTATTACAGCTATGGCGTAGGCAATAGTGGTGCGCTTCTTCCTACTACCTGAAGCATTTAACAAGTCATTGTAAAGATTTGTAAGTTATCAAAATCACAACAAATTCTTATTTATATTGTCAATTTTGCAGAATTCGTATCTCCCCAACTATTATTAATAAAAATCAGCTGGGAAATGAATCCAAAATACACATGAATTACAAGTGCTACTATACAGAAGATGAAAAGCAAATATTTCGAGAAAAAATGAAAATGTGTCTAACCGGTAAAATTATACAAAATTAACAGAAAAACACAAAGATTTTAATAGCAAACAAATTATGACAAACCATTTTACAGATGCGTCAAAAGATTTCATTCTGGTGCTGACAAATACTTAAGATAAAATCCCTGAGTAATTGTAAAACAATGCAAAGTATCTGAGCGAACAGTAACTGACAGTAATTGAGATATAAGGGAAAACCCTGGGTTAAAAGAAATACTTAAATCCATAATCAGAAATCGTAATCACCAATTTATAAGTATTTCCTTTCCGTTGAACAAACGAAATAGCCTAAAATATGATTAAAAGACAAAAAAAGATAGACCATATCTCATGATCAGAAGTTCACAGGTTTTAAACAATAAATTAGTGATAATCTGACAAGATACCCTAGACAAATTGCGTAAATATGACAATAAAATGAAAAATTTGATAATGTGAAAGAGGATGTGCAACAATATTGTTTGATAAATAAATCTCGGTCAAAAGAGAACAATTTATTAACTTACTTGTTAGAAATAAAAATGCAGTCCTCGATACTTCACACAATAAAAGCCAAAAAATACATTTTTTGACCTTTTATCGCTTGGTATAAAAATGAACCAATGATTTATTTACCTAATATTAGCTCATTCTATTTCTTATATAATAAGCTACTAGAGTAACATTTTGTTTAGAATTTTCGTTAATGCTTGCCACAATCTAATTTTTTGAAAGAAAGCATGAAATTATATCCCGAAAAATTAGGCATAACAAATAGCATTAGAAATTTTGATAGAAGTCTAAAACTGTATAAGACAAATAAAGCACGCTAGTCATTTGTCTTTTTCACTAGTAGTTCTCCCATTTACAACTCTCAAAGTTTGCTCATAAGCGTATAAATCTTCGTTAATATCTTCATCATATTGATCAACCAGAGATGAAATAGCATTTCCTAATAACTTCTCAATAACGTGGGACACTGGATTACGTTTTTGCTTCCTTCGGCGTCTTTCCTTACTCTTTTCACATTCTAAAACTTGATTAAGTACAGCAAAAATGGCATCGAAACAATAATTCAGTAACATTAATTTTTCAATTGAAGATTATTAGTTTAGTTTTTTTGAAGCTTATAAATAAGTGCACATAAATATATAAATTTATATATATCTAGAAGTAACCTTGACAAAAATCCGCATATTCTTTTGCACACTTTTTGAATTCTGCATCCAACTTTTGCAGTTTTGTTAATATACCAGTCTCAATCCTTTCATAAGTCAATCGTTTATCATTTTCCACATTTTGATGTGCACACTCTAACTGACCCAAGGTACGCCGATTAAGAGACTCCGTTCGCAGTGACCGAACCACATCTATATACTGTAAATGCCGATGAATAAAATGAAATAAAATTAACATCATCCAAAACCAGCAAAGTGTATGCAGAGAATAAACAAACGACTGAACAAAATAAAATGTAACATTTCCTTACAAAAAATATTTTCAAATCACTATCATCACTGGTTAAATAAGATTAAAAAAAAAGATTATTGCACAGTATTTTTTGATTACAAGCACGAAAGTTATGACTGATAAGTGCGAATGAATATTTGTTAGAAATGAATAAAGATACGTAGCATTTTAAACTTAAAAAATGTAGAAAGAATAAATAGTTTACTCGAAGTTTGTCATGATATTCTTTGAGAATTTCTTCCTTCTTTTTGATGAAATCTGGAGCTTCCTGACCCAAAACTTCAGCTTGTCGCTTTTCTAGCTTAACAAAAAATAATGATGAAGATAAAAATAATAGATCATGTTGAATTATATTCAATAAAACTAATAAAAATATTGGTCAGAATACTGATAAATATGTTCAAAAATTTCATTTGAACTAGCTCATCAGAGCTTAAAATTTATTTCTAATCACATTAAATTGTTTTTTGATTATAAACGATTCAAAAAATCTTACCTGCTTTAATTTTTCTATGTATACTTTCTTTTTACTATCGAAGAAAAGTCTCTCAGCAATTACAGTGAGCAGAGCGTTGAGTTCTCTTCGTTTTTCATACACGGATGGTTCGATTTCACTCTCACTATCCGATGATTCTTGCATCTTCTACGCTAATTCAGCATTACCACAGCTTGCTATACAAATCTTAATTATGTACATGATCACTTTAGAGAATTGAAAGATATTACTAACACTGATAAATGGTATTTGTGAATGACTAGATGTAAGTAAAATGGATTCACCAAAAGTTTTTGTAAGCAAAAGTAATAATAAGTAACGCATACCTCAATGAACAAGGTTAAATTACTATAATCCACCAAACAATTTATGACAACAAACTGGAAACACGCAAAGCAATAAGCAACGTGTTTTCCACCTCAAACACTTTCTAATCAATCTAAATTACTCTAATAACTCTGAATAATGCTAAAACCCATTATTCTCGCGAATAATATTCTCCACGCACAAATATATTTCCATAGAACTCCCGCCAGCCTTTTTTCCTTTCCATCCTTGAAAGTTCTAAAAATAAGTGTTTGTTGCATACGTCTCTACGTGCAACTTATATGCAACAGATCGTGTTGAAAAAATACAGTAGTTTTACAGAAAGGATTATACAGTAAGAAACTATCGCCAAGGCAGATGTGTGCTGCGTAGTACGTCTTGGCTTATGTAAAGTAATTAACGTTTCATAGACAGATTCATGTTGCTGCTTCCGAGATTAATTTTTCTTGTCGTAATTATCATATATAGATGTAAAGTAGATTCATTTGTTGTCGGAAGTCTTTTACATGAACAAAAAAACGCAGGTATTAAACATTTATAGAGTAAAATACTTGCACAGTGTTTAGAAGTCAGATGTTTATATAGAATTCACAACGCATCTGCTCACATACTGCATCTGTATATCGTTTGTGAGCATAAAATGTGCATTACAGATTAGTTGATCAGTAAGCATCTGTTTCAGATACAATATCGACATAGAAATCCGAAGAAGTTCGTTAGCCCGTCACTGATATCATGTTATAATTACAACGACGTTTGAGATTTTACCACTAAAAATTCATTCCCTTCATGTAATTAAGTACATTATAGCCGGTTCGTTGACCTATTTATTAATAACTGACATTGACAGTAATGACTGCTGCGATTGCCAGAAATATATTTGTTCCAGTTATCATTGCATTTTTCGTACAAGTCAAATTTATGAAGCAGTTGAACTAAACTTACATCGTAGTTACGTCGTTTTTAACACTTCAAGTGATGTTGAATGAAGTACCGGCTTTCAGACACTTAACTTAATCGAATTACATTTCAAGATCAGAACAGAAAAGTATGATTTTCTTCTACTTCTACATGTCTTTACTAGTTTTATCGGCGAAATTTTTTCTATTCGCCAAGTTTAGTGACGAGATTTGATTGTGATGCAGAAAATTTGATGAAAGTTTAATCGCATCGTTTGAAATGAATCCGAACTAATGCTGCTAAAATTTTCTACTCATAAGCAGCAATCATTTGGATGATAATATTTTCAGCTCAACAGATTTAAACCTTGAAGATTCTGAAAAAGTTTTATAATTTAGAAGCATCAAATAAATGCATAGCACTTATTTGCGGCCTTTTTTGCTTCGCTGATTTCAAACACCAAAAATAGTTCATGATGTCTTCCATCACAATTTTGTGGCAAAATATTTTTCTATATAATTTTCAAAGGCTATTATTTTGCAGAAGAAATTGGAACGAAATAGAAATACTGGAATGCAATAGTTACTGCAATGAACAGTTGATAAGTAGTACGAAATGGATAGAATACATGGGAAGGATTCAAATAAGACTTACTCTGTGCGAACAGAAAAAATGACGGTTGTCTAAGAAATATGTAGTGAGATACTTCAACAAAGTTGAATACTGTTATAGACAATTATTCTTGAAACAATATGATTTTTATTTTTAATGAGCATGTAGATCCTTTAGGATCCATTTCTTTGCTCGCGCTCAACAAATATAAAAACAGTTGAATATTTAGAGTGCAGTCAAAAATTGCTGCACTTTTAATAAATAAGACGATTTAAGGACTTTAAAAGTGATGTAGGAAAATTTGAACAGCTTGATATTCAAATTTTCGTCTAAAACGGGAATTTTGCCGCATTCATTTCTACATATTCTATAAACTCTCTCCCATAAGCAATGCAAATTTTCAACAAGGCTTCGCAGTCATCTACAGCATGATGGGCATCGTATTCATCATTCAATACCTGAAAAAAAGCTAGCTCTCTTTTTGTAGGTATATGTGAATGTAGAGTACAATGATATGATCAGGCCTCAGTTAATGCAAGATTCTCAAAAAAGAATTCCAAGCTTGAAATTTAATTTCATAGATTATATACTTCAGTTTGCTATTAATAATACAAAGATTTACCGAGGTAAGGGATGGCGTACATTTTGCCTCAATAGTTAAAATATTATGCAATACGCAGTATAATTGAATGAACTGCTATAGTGATTCTAACATTCATTTAATTAAAGCCTGGGTTTTCAAGGATTTGGTGATGGAAAACAAAACCTGTTTATAGATGGATTCCAATTTGAATGCGCCTTTTTCACGAAAATAAGCAATAGAAAAATGATTATTGAATAACCAATTTCCTTTGCTGGAGCGTCTAAGAAGATACATAGATATGAGACGTATGAAAATTAATATGGAAATATTACTTTTCAGAGAAGCAATTTTTAGATAAAACTTATGTCGCATATAAGACAAGTATGAACCAATGGAAATAAATTAGGCTTTAAATCCTAGAGGTTTTATATACTTCAAGACTAATAAGACTAGATGACTAGTAAACTGAGTACTTGAACAAATCTGGTCGAATACGCTTTTTTTTGGCTGGTGACCACTTTGCTGTTCTAATATTGTTCAGTGGATGGTCATCTGTTGTTCCAGCAAAAAGTTGTCTTTTAGCAGGTCTGAAAAGCAAAAATAAATTTTGTCTCGTTAAAGTTGCATTTTGGAGAAGTTACAAGAAGTCACACTTTTGACCAAATCAAAAAAAACAGTAATTATGAGGAAACACCGCTTTTAAAAGTTGTACAATACGCAATATGAAATCATAGAATGGATTAGAAATACAGTCGATGCAAGTTCACTTAATATCAGACGTAGAAATTAATTAATTATTGTTAAAAATTATGCATAAAATTCCCTTTTAATTTCTGGTGGAACAACACATGTAATGCTTTGCTGTTCTTCAGTTTCAAGCGAATTATTGTCAATAGGAAAGATGGCTACTTTATGCGATGAAGCCGATATTTCAGAAGTACTACTACAGCAAGTAGTGTTTAATGTAAAACCGGCTGAAGACATGTCTTCGGTAGAATCACATCCAATCTCACTCTCCACTGTGGAGGACACTACAACATAAATCGTTTAAAAATGCTCAAATTACTCTGCAAATTTTTGGAACCTGACAACTGGATTATGCAAGGTTCACTTTTGTTTTATGATGTGAATAACAATAGTAGTTGAGTCTTAAAAAAAGATACATTAACTTACAAAAATATAAACCTGTACACTCAAATATTAACTAACATCGGTTCCAATCCCCAAGTCGAACAGCAGTCCGTAGTTCATCATGCAATTTTTTTTCTAAATCTAGAAACATGAGATAAGAATCCACAAAATAAACCTGTAATAAATGCATATTTATTCACTCAGTATAGAAATCTTTTAGACAGCAGCAGAATATGTAAGTGATATTAAAGAGTTATAAAAACAATTTCAGAGAGCTGATAATTCATTTAGAGAGAAATAATACCTGGTCAGGAATAGGATTGCTACTTAGTAGAAGATTCCGTTCAAATTCTGCATATAACACACGAAAATCGAATCTGAATATAAAGAATAATGTCAACACACTTGAATGAACAATAAAGTTAGCTACAAAGAATATTCTAACAAAATTCAAATTTTTGAAAAATACTTTATTCCATTGTGAGCAACTATGCAAACAGGTTTCGGTGCATGTTCAAGAAAAAGTTTGACTCCTTTCCATTCTGTCACAAAATCGTTTTTATCCTCCAAATCTTCTTGTGAATAAACAAACACTAAAAATTTCTGTAAATAGTTATTTAAAAAGAAAATTATACCGTACTTGCCAAATTAGTAATCTAAATCCGCCAAAACGAATTATTTGTAGAAAAACAAGTCAATGAAAGAGATAAATATTGCCTATAACTACCTTGATATTCAAGTCGTTTCTCTTCATACATTCTCCATTCTTCTTGAGTTATTTTAGGTTTTACCTGCAACATAAGTCTCAGAATGGATTAAAATGGATTCGAAAACTTGGCCAACAATGTGAATTTTCATATCGATTCAAATTTTGAATGCAATCTTGTTCCAACTGTAATCAGCCAAGATTCATTGAATTCTCGGCCTAGTAAGAAGTTAAGGATATACTGTCAATCAAAATGGAAAAAAACCTGTGCAGCATAGATGTTGCATGGAATTCGGAAATTATTTGACGAAGGATGAGGTGCTTCTCGGTCATTTGCCTCATCATCAATCACTAAAGAGTCCATTTTTGCAATTCCAGATAAAATTGCCTTCCTCGTAACTGACAGGAGGCTAATTTCCGTAACATAAGGAGCTTCATGAGAACTAGCTTAAACCATATGAATGTTACTTAAACCATAGTCAGAACAATACAAAATGAGATTGAATAGAAGGAATTTTTACTCATCATGATATAATTTCGTAGCATTCGAAACAAATCTCGTCCACCACCCAAAACTGGAGGATCATCTAATGGATTCATCGCAACAACTGGGAAAAGGCCGTTAGTTTCTATATCAAGGAAAACAAACGACTGCATACAACGATGTTTACATTCGACAGATGTAGACATTACTAACAAGAAAATCCTGAAAGGAAAGCCAAACTATGACAGTATTTTATGGTCATATTCCCCAGCTCATACACATTATCCGATCTTTACGGACGTTGCTTTCAGCCCTATCTGCAATCACCTTATAGAAATTTTAAAACTACGAACCTGAAATGGAATTCAGTGCACTTGTAGCCGGTGCAAATAAGAAATAATCAGGTTCATGTAAGAATTAGCATTGCCAAATTTATTTACTTTTGTGTGTTTTATAATATTTACGAGAGCAATGTAAAGCAAATTATGTCACACACAGGTCGAAAACAGCAATACGGAACACTGAATACAATTTACAAAAAATAATACTTTCACGAGCATAATACACATTTATAAAACATTTTCCCGAATCCGAACCTGATATGTCTTCTTGACTCTGCTAGTTTCATTTCACTTGAAAATGACTCAGTTGAAATAGTGTGAAAGTAGTCATAAAATACTTTATTTAAGAATTTGTAATTTCTCAATAGAAATTTACTGCATTAAATGCTGATAGACAATGGAAATCTATACAAGTATATTAACGAATCATTATTCTAAAAAAATTGGAGTAAAATTTGATAAAATGAATTAAAAGTTGGAGAACGCCAGTGTACAAGTACCATTTGCTTTCGACATAAAATCATATGTTCATATCATTTTAGTAATGCACAAAAGAATTACATCAAATAATCCCAAATCAGAGGCTATAAAAAATTCAAAACAAAATTAAATTAAATGCTACATTACTAGCTGTAATGCTAAGTCTCTACAAATTTAGTAAAATAGTTCTTGGATCCTCAATTGATGTTTTGATTTTTCGTAAGAACATGACTGCCTCTCGACCATCAATTAATCTAAAGTTTACTGAAGTATTAATAACTCCTTATTCAATATCAGAATCATTAAACAAGTCAACAAAATACCGAAGAAAAAGTTTCGTAACTATATTTCAATCTGTAGTCAAAGCTCTGTAATAATAAATAATAAATATCGCAACATTTAATATTTAATAGATCCTCTCTGAGTTACTACATGGATTTCCAAAGAGAAAAAAGTCGCATTACCGATGATCGTATGTCAATGCTACAGTCATCATTGGTCGTATTTCAACTTTTCCTTCCACTGCTACAGGTCGATCGAAAATACCATGCATGCCAAGAATTGCCGACTGTGGAGGGTTAATAATTGGTGTCCCAAAGACCGAACCAAATACACCACCATTGCTAATCGTGAATGTTCCACCTTCCATATCTTCAATCGCAAGTTTGCCATTTCGAGCCTTCAATCAAAAAAAAACTTCACTAAGTGCTGAAATTTCAGATGCTTTAAAAGATTAGGATTTCATACGTCTCAATATTTTCTTTAACATTTGAATATTTGTCATATTTATCTTGACATTTATTTCTTTTCACTTTATAGCACAAAATACAATAAACGAAAATATCTTAAATCATTCTCTTATTTGCTTTACTATTTTTTAGCCTGTTTCAACTTATTGTTTGGAGTTAAATGCATTTAATACCAAACAAAATCTAGAAATTACTTGGCTAGAATTATGATATACTTGGAATCTGCAATACATGAGATAAAGCTTCGTAATAAAACAAGATATACTATACTTTGACAGCAAACTCGTTCAGTGTTTTTTCAATAACTGCATAATCCATCATTTCAACATTACGTAACACAGGTACCACAAGACCTTTTGGTGTGGCAACCGCAACTGATATGTCGATATAATGCCGATATAGTATTGTGTCATCATCGATAACTAAAATAGATTTAATTTTGAAAAACAATAAGTTTACAGATATTTTTCAGTTTCCTTTGCTGAAATAAAGAAATTTGATCTGCTTGACTTGAAATTTTTGACTGAATGAAAGAATACTAGATTGATAGTTGAACTGCTGAATTAATGAGAAGATAAGTGCTAGTTTTTGAACTCATCTGCTTAATACTAAGCAGTAATTTCTTGACAAAAATGAAAAGTCTACCAGCATTAACTGTGGGAAATTCCTTCAACGCATACACAGCTGACCGAATAAACGGAGACATTAAACCAATTTTCACGCCATACTTATCCATAAATTCCTTCTGATATCGTTTACGCATTTCTAACACATTGCTGAAAAAAAATAATTTGGGTAATTTCTTAGTACATAAGCAATGTCAATGGAGTCAAGCCAAAAAAAGGAAAAAAATGCAAGTTAAATTCAGTTCATTAATTATCGATGAAGCTATTTTTTTACTTTGCACACAAAACTCCCAACTAATACTGTGTTAAAGAATACTAAAATAAACTATTAACTTAAACTTTTACATTTTATTCTAACAAGTTTTAGATAAGTCCATGAACAAACTTTGCATACCTCATATCAACCTCATTGAAAGTGGTAAGCATAGCGTAAGTATTTTGAGCATCTTTTAATCGTGTAGCTATTCGGATGCGCATCCGATTCATCTTGACTCGAGTCTCACTTCTTGTACCAGTAAAAAGGCTTGGATCATTGACTGGTGGTGCTTTTTCCATTTGCGGAGCTGGCTGTTTCTGGGGAGGTGAAGATTCAGAAGACGAATGATGAACAGACGCTGGAGGAGTTGAGACTGTTTGTTCTAAAAATTAAGCCTATGCCCTATTCTGTTTCATTCTAACAATTTCATATGAATCTCGTCTTTCTACACCCCTAAGTCAGGTAAATCTAAAATTCAACTTATTACCTATCGATCTGGAAGATGGCGGCGAAACGTCTGCCAAATGAGGCTTTGATGGTGATGACGAAGACAAATCTGTCAGATCTCGCTTTGGTGCTGGTGACTGTGAAAGTACTTCCTTCGTTCTCGATTCTGCCACTTTTTCTTCTGACTTGGTAGATACATCTGATAAATAAATCATAGAGTAGGGAAATTTAAACTCAAAAAGCAACGAAAATCAAAATTACTGTGAAATAATTCAAAGGTTAAGAAAGCGAGAGCAAGTATTTTAGAAATTCAACTACATTCTCAAGACCCATCATGCTCACCTTTTCCAAATTCCAACGTAAACAATTTTTGGTGCGCAACAACACGACCACCGTCTTCTACAAGTAAGTCAATTATATGTCCGGACTGCGGAGTTGGAACTTCTACTGTTGTCTGAAAATATGAGAATACTTTGAAATTGTCATTTACAGCAATATCCAGTATCCTTTTAATGTAACTGAAACTGAGAGCATTAAAATGAAGTTCGTACTTTGTCAGTCTCTATTTCAGCAACGATATCATCTTTTTCGACAAATTCTCCTTTTTCTGAAAAAGGCTTTTTTTTCAAATTACTGAAAAAATGAATGAAAGAAGAGGAACATTCATAACACAATAATGACTTTAAAAAGCTAACGCTTTAACCATCTTATATCGCCTTCAGAGATGGATTCAGCAAATTCTGGTGCTTCTACTTCTGTGATATTGGCCCCTTAAATAGCAATTTCCACCAACTATAATATGCAACTGAACAAAACAAGAAGAAAATTCAGTTATGGATGTTTAAATATGCTTGAAACATGATATCCCTGCTTAATTTTGAATATTAACTTCAATAAACAATGCAAGAACGAACAAAGTGACTGGCTTGTATGTAGATGCGCAATTTGATGGACATAATAGCACGATGGCTTTCCATGAACCATTAATTTAGCAACCGAACAATTTGTACAGTATCGCATGCAACACACCAATGCCTTCTGATTTACTATCTAAAATACGAATTCAAAACGACAAAATTTCACTGCATGTTCTTAGTTATCTTCAACAAAAAATATCAGTGAAAAACTAATTATAGTCCAGACAATTGTGCTACTTATTAATAAGTTACAATGAACTTGACATAAGTATTAAACTAAATTTAAAATAAATTCTCGTCACCTGTTTGAGAATTGGAGTACATTGATATAGCGAGATCGCACGTCGCAACATAGACATATATTCCCTACATGAAACACTAAGAGTAAAACGTCTTATAAACAATCGAAGTACATTTAAGGCTAGTTTTTATAGAACGCATCTATACTTACATCAAATATTCAGAAATATTTCAATGTAACTACGCATAAAATGAATTCCACAGCGTCAAGAACACAAACACTTCAGGATTCTTAGTAAATCAGTATATTACTACGACGCTGACTCGCGCCACTTTTCAATTTTACGTGGTCATACGATGTTCTTCACGTTTTTCACTCTGAATGCGTAATCTTCATCACAAAAAACACGGCCTTACGGCCCTCAGCCCAATATAAATGAGACTACCCAATCATAGTGACTTGCATCTAAAGTTTCGAAAATGACAGATTTTGAGTATAGCTTTCATAGGCCTTGAACTCCAATACAAATTAGAACTTAGAAACCAAAGCTATCTTTTGCCTACTTGGACTCTTATTTCACATTTTATGAAATTTTACGTTTTACAGTCCTTTAAGAAAAATACCTACAACAATCTCGAAGTGTTCTTTACGAAATGTTTATGTCCAGAATGACTAAGTTCCATTCACACAAATTATATTATTTTTAGATTTTAAAAAACTCAACATTTTACCAACTTTTCGAGACTTCGGAGAAGTAATTACATTTTACCACCTTTCACTCAAGTAGTTTCGTTGTACTGTTTGAAGCATGAACAAGAAAGAGGATCCGAGAGATTCATATTAACTACTTTGTAGCACAATGATATCGTGTTAACATTACATTATCAAAGCAATAAAAACTTCGACATTAAGCTATGTTTCTTCCCGCTTTCTGTCTATTGCGATCATTTATTGCATTTATAATTAAACATTTTCAATACTTTAAACCGAGAGAATTAATTATTCATATCTACCACCATTTCCACGAGAACCAACCAAATGGAACATCTTTTTCTTGTGTTTTTATCTTCTTCAGATCTTCTTGTAATAATTTCAACTGGGCGCCTGCTTCTGTCCATTTGGCACTCGTTAACCACAATTTTGTGACAACATTTTCATCATAAGCAAGCTTGTGCCATGGGAGTTTCGTTCTCAGACAACTAAAACTTTATCTGATCAAAGTAACTCTAAAGAAATACTCACCACTTCATATCACATGGAAAAATCAAGAAAAAAAATAGTTGAAAAGGAATGCAGTTCAATATAACAATACACCTAAAAATAATTCACTTAGTGATTACCTTAAAAATTTTTACTACCAATTTTTTGTAAACTATTGTTTATACGATCACTCACTTTATGAAAACTCCATTCATATCTTCCATCTTTTCATCTGCAACTGCGTATAATACTGGACGACAGGCATCACTAACCGACTGAGCAGCAACAAGTCCATAAATGAATCTGTAGAGTTTATAAATTATCTTGAAAATGCATGTAGTAAGAAGTAACCTTGTTATACGTTGAACAAGTTAAAAAATAACCTTTTGAAATTTTTACACCATCTTACGAAAAATAATCGGCCATCTGCTCCTTCTAAACGATAAAGAAGATCTGTATTAGTTGGACCTGGATCCACCATTATAACTCGTAAATTTGTGTCTAAATTAAACCAACAGATAAAAGTGGTAAAGGAATCAAAAATACACATGCAATTTCTTTAAAAAAACTAATGAAAGCTTCCTAAGTTACTATATTTTGTTGATTACAATAATGAAGTTAGAGTTTTCCTACTTTCTGTTCAATAAGGAAGTATAATAGAAGTAATGTAGATTTCTTTCATTTCCAATGTATATTACAAACCTTTGACTTTATCTGCTAGTGATTTTACAAAAAGCGTTAAAGCAAGTTTACTCTGATAGTATGCATTTCTCTTAGCTTTTTCAGGAGATTCTTTCCACTTCGCTAAATCCACCGAATTTAAGTCATTAAAGCTTAATTCGTCTCTAAAATAATTATTATCATAATATGGAGATAATTAGACTTTTTATTCAAAACTGCAAAAACCGCAAAAAAAACAAGTTTTAGTGAATAAAAAGTAACTTACATTTGAAGATCTGAAGTATTTAAAAATACTAGACGAACTGGACTTGGCTGTTTTCTGAGCCGATCGTACAGTAATGATGTTAGCAAAAATGGCCCCAAATAATTTGTAGCAAAAGTGCGCTCAATATGGTGCTGCAAAATACATCGGGCTATAAAGAAATTAAGCAGCAAAATTTATAAATTTATTTAGTACCAAAAATACTGAATGCAAAACAACAGCTTAAAAAAAGTCCATTGTTTACATTTGTGTACATTTTAAAGCAAAATGTTAAGCGATTAAATTATTTTTTACTCGTCCTTGATATTTTTCATGTCAGTCCATGAATTGTAACAAAACTTCTGTTCAATAAAATAATAAAGACTCTTTAAAATTTACAATCTGACCTTGTTCGTTTGCCGAGTGGATTCTATAACTGCAGCACTGTACACCACACCATCAATTTTTTCTAATTTATCTTTACCTGCATGAAATAACATTGTTGTACGTAAAATAAAAGTTTATAGCGAAACTATCGAATTGAAAATTCTGTCTCTATATTATTTTCTATTAGAAAATGATTCTGCAAACACATAATTTGAAAATCTTTAATGACAGCTTTGCTTTTCAGCACTTTTTAGCTCTTAAAGTGTATCCCAATATATCTAATTTCTGATATTAAACGCAGTATCTACAAATAAAAAAATTCATTTTAGTACCCGTGTCAAGTTTAAAAACGAAATCTCGAACAGAATCAAAATCTTCCAAATCTAAACGTCTGCAATAGATATCCACATTTTTCGTTTTGATTACTAAGTTCCGACGCAATTCAATACATTTACGTCTATTTCTGTAAATTCATTTTATAAGATTGTAAGGAATCATTTCTTGTCATTCTATGATTAACAAATATATTCGTAACAGTAACTAATGCATGGGCACGGTTATTCATGAATAAACTTTTCGGATGAAATATCTAATTAGCTCTTTCAATTAATCTTCAACTTTTCTAGAATCCTTAAATAATTAATCACTGTAATATTTTCATGACTCTGTAATTTTAGATCAGTAATAAAGTTTAATACTCCATATTGTAAATATTACCTACAAGCCATAATTACTTTTGCTTTTCTAGCTGCTAATTCTCTGGTTGTTTCCATACCAATACCAGAAGTGGCACCCACAACAATATATGTTTTTCCGATCAGATTGTTGTCCAGTTTGTAATTATCACTTGAACCACTGTGACTGAAATCGATACACAATACTAAAACTTCCAACTATTATTAATTTCAAAACTCTAAAACGATATTAATAAACTGCATATAAATTTTGACATTTTGGTAGGAAAAAGTCTCCATACGAAAAATTTGCTTCATTCCCTATAAGAAATAGTTTTTAATAAATTATAGAAATTAGTGCAATTTCAATCTTTTACTTAACAAAATAAATTATTTTCAGGAATATTTCGGACAGTATTTTAATCAAAAAACAATCCCAACTGACACTACGCTACTACACTATTATTAAATGACAACAAAAAAGTCTTTCATTCCTATGTTTGAATTTTTTTAACTGAATAATGATGCGCAGCACTTGAAGCAGTATCATCTCATCCTTGTGCTAAATTATAAATCATTCTCCAATACTACACGGCAAAATTTCGTCGAAAAAAAATAGAAAACTTACAAGTATGAATAGTATGCTCCACTTGCCCCAGCAACAGCAGCAAACACTGCTACCCAACCCTTCGATACATCACTAATCATCCTTTTCAACATGAACATTGTGTTCCTATAAAAGTTTTTTACTTCTTTCTTGATTGTAGTTATCTATGACTTATACATTTTAGTAGGTAATTTAAAGTTTGTTAACTCAGCTAATTAATTGTAAATTGAAAAAAAAAGAAACTTTTACTTGTAAATTCCTAACATGTAATGATTATCAAAAACATCTATTCCAAAGAAGCACAACTAGGACCACACCAGACATTAAAACTTTTAACAATACAATACCTAAAATTAATTCGAAAACTGATTCCAGTCAAATTTTTGCTTCTCTACTTTAACACTATATCATTTATTTAATTTGCTGTTTGGTATGACATTACTGCAAACTGCCAGGAACACAATTTTTAAAGGCTGCATTCAATGTGGATAAGCAGTACTTGTCAACGTTGATATATTTATATAAAATATCTTTAATGCCCCATACTATTCAGACTGATGTTACTCAGATAATAAATAAAAAGTAACGAAAGTAATGAAAAACACAACACATAGTGATTTTAAAAAAAAGAAGAAAGCAACAGAAAGTAAATGTTCAAGTACAGCAAAAGATCAGCAAATGAAATAAATGAAAAAACATTGTATAGAAACCTTAATGATACTCATAATGAATACTTTAAATTAGGTTATTAGTTAACCACATCGTGCAACAAGCACTGAAAAATCATTGATGGAAAAAAATCCCCAGGTTACAATCTTAATTTCTGTAATTTTGCACTGAACACTTTTACAACACCTCAAGTTAGCAATATCTCATGATACTAACTAACAGCAAAACTTTGAACAAGTGATTTTATTGCACATTGCAAAAAAGAATACGGAAATTCGGAATATAAGTCAAATCTTCTTCATAATAGAATATGAATGAAAATTTTACCATTTTACTAAAGGTTATTTATTGATAATAAGTTATTCTCATAGTTTTTTTGATAAATGAGAAACAGAAAAATTAAAAACACTTTGAAGGATGCAGAATTTGCTAACTGACTGAATGAAAAAAAGAATCTACAAGCATTCACTTTATTAAAAAAAATTAGTTACAACAAATAAGCCCCCAACATCCAACTAAACAAGTTTCTTTGCCTCGAAGAATCCTTTTAAATGACGCATTTGCCAAGCTCCAGTGACCAACAACACAATTGTCTGAGCAACTGACCACCACAGCACACGTGAATTTGTATTTTCGCTGGTCTGCCGGAAGCGTTCTTCCCTAAAATTACTCAAGTTACAAGTAGAGAACACTAATTATCTTTCTGAGCCAAAGATTTTGCGGTTAATATAAATCTGAATAATATGAACATTTAAGAAATTTTATAGGAATTAAACAGGATCAATTCTAACAAATAATGCTTTCAGACTATGCCTTTGAAAGTATTCAAAACAGTAAGGTAAAAAGTTCCACTGCATCTCTACTTTGCATCAAAGAAACATGTTTTATAAAAGTCCCTATGAACAATATCTCTGACACGTAATAACAAATATACCTGTATCGCTGATAATTTTGTTCCTTAGAAATTTGTTCAACTTGATCAAGTAATTGCCTGATCCGAAGTTGTAACTCATTCAGTTTATCTTTCGCAGCTACCTAGATTGATCTTCAATACATGCTAATGCTTTTAAAGTCGATACCAATCATTATTTAAGTAATACAAACTAAAAAGTGATACAAATAAACACAATAATCTGTTTAAGATTTTGAAAAAAAATGCAAACCACTCTATCAAAAATTACACTAACCTGTTCATAATCTTGTGCATGCTCGCCAACTAGAATGTCAAAAAATACACGCAACTGTGCACCACTAAACCAAGCAGTTGAGTTCGAGTATAAACAAATAAAATGTTCACCAGGAGAATGAGAAGTGAATGTAAATCTACCTTGGCTGGTGTATAATTTCGATAATATCATCTAAATTTCAGTTATCACTAGTGCTGCTGCAAAAACAACCACATCATTCAAAAAACTCTGCACTATACATACTTCATGTTGCCAATTTTTTCAATATCAGTATTCTTTTCTACTTTAAATAGTTTTATACATATCACATAACGAAGAACGTAAATTACCTTATCATCTGGATCCTTCACTTCCACATGCACCCCAATGCCCGGATATTCACCGACACCTTTCGTCTTCGGATCATATAACATCACCTTATAATCACCAGCTACCCTTGTCTCATCCGGTACTTCCTCAATGAAACATTTCCTTTCTGTCTCAGATATATGGAAATATAGAGCACGTACAGAACCGCAAAAAAGCATAATAAAAACCGAGACAAGCTGCATCACTTTATTCCTGTAATAATTTGATAAAACTTCACATGTAACCAAAAATACTTACACAGTCCCCTAGATGACTTATACGTTCCCAGATCAAGCTTCTTATACAATTCACTTTTAAGCAAAAAATGCCCTGATGATCGCACTCGCTTATTATCTGAAAGCAAAGAGTCTAGGACGTGGCAACTAAATTTAATTCCAATTTACTTTTAATTTTATTTATCGGCAAATAATATGGAGCAGAACTTCCCAGATGTCATGTAACTGATGTTAATAAACACGGAAGTATTATAAAAAGATTATTTCAACTAAAAAGTTTCATTTATTCTCTATAAGAAATCGTAAAAAGCAAATCTATTTAAATCAAGGACATATAACTATGAGAAAAATCGCTACAAAAAAAAAAATTCACTGCATATGAAACCGAATTCCAAAGAGAAATACTTTCAAGAAGCTATCAAAGTTTTCCAGTTAAAAAGTACTGTAAAATCAAAATGCTACTGACCATGTGAAATCGGAATATTTTACAAACTAGACAATTATAATCATAGAGCTAGAATAGAATATAAACCAAAAGGATAAAGCCAAAATGCAAAAAAAAAAAAACGTGAAAAAAACGAGATTCCTACGAAATAAAGCTTTGGACATGAGAAAATATTTATGGCAATATGCACTTACTAGAGTCGAACTGTTCTACTCAAACAAATAAAAGTATGTAAATTACTCCAATTATCAAATTAGAACTGATGTTATCGGGAAAATACAGATAATGAAACTTTTTTTGAAAAATTATGATGAAACAGTTCGAAGCATAAACTGTGATTATGAGCATAGGTCAGAGAAGCTAAAGCAACTTACATGTAAATATTACAGATAACTACATGTAAATATTACAGATGCTGTCTAGAAATTTAAAGAATTAAAAGATAGTGACTGATGAGATAGATAATCCTAAAACTGAATCTATATGCAATAAAGAAAAGTATTGGCTCAATGAAAATATCCGTGGAGATTTCTCATGATAAAACAGTTTTCATAATATATCTGAAATTATGGATATTACTATAATCTTTAAAAACTACTGCTCAAAATGCAAAAGATTATGAAAATAAAAAAAAACCTGCAAACCGAATTAATGCTACTGAATTTACACAGCACGCTGAGCACAGTAAAAAAATAAAAAAATAAATAATAAATAAACTTTGAAGTGTAAATGTGCTATTAATATCCTTATCCAATAGCACATTTTATCATATAAGAACTGAAATGAAATTCGAAAATGAGATGGAAAAAATTCGAAATCGTAACAAAAGCTCAACACTTATTTTCAGGTGGAAGAGAAAAAAATGTTGAAAAATAGCACCAGCAATTAGCAGACAACAGTTCTCTTAAGATATCTGAAATTGCTATGCAATACAAATTCAAAAAGCTGGAGGTTTTTCGAACATCCAGTGTTGTCTTTCATCCGTTATATCACATGGCATTAAAGCTAGAATATCTTCCCCATTTTGAGAGCCGCCCAACAACAAAGCTGTGCACTGGTTGTTTTTCAGCAACCTTTGATTAGTCTCATCTATACTCCATTTTCCCTCAGTCTGCAACAACCTAACTGTATTCATACAATGCTTAAATATCACATTTTTCAAACTTTTAAGATTCAAAGTCCCACAATATAACTCCATCATCCCAACCATTTCAAAATTGAGCATTGTAGCACAAAAAATACCATATTGCAGTATTGTAAAACCAGTGTCCCTTTATTATCATCTGTGATGCAGAATTTTGAATAAGGGCTTCTCAAAGCACCACTCTTGGCATTCAACACCCATTCCTGAAAACGATGCATTTCACCCTGTGCCAAAAATCCTGTTTCTTAAGAACAGTTACTGAATTAATTTACCTCTCATTATTCCATCTTCATCTTACTATCCTATTTTGTTAATTACCTTAATTATACATTGTAACTACTAATTAATAAACAATCTATCACTGCCTGGCAATTTAAAAAGGCTTAAACCAGAAAAATGATGCTAAATTTCATTTCCATTTTCATGATAATCGGTTCATTCTAAATCAATTCTTGATAGACAAAAAATGCTCAGCCATAATCAAATAAATTAAAACACATCCAAATTCATACCTGATTACCTCCTGTACCATGGCAGCGATAAACACTGATAGAAGACAAAGCTGTTTGTTTACCCAATGAGTCAATGCAATAATTTCCCTGTCTAAATGTTAAATATCGCCCATCGTCTTTTGTGGGAATTCTGAAAGTATTTTTAAGAAGCTTTACTTTTTTAATACAGTGGTAAATGAAGTTGAATAACTTGTTTTCATTTTATAATAACGATAGTAAAATCGTTTACTCCAAGAAAAAATCATTGTTTCATTTGGACTATTAATCCATAGTTCTTTCAGGAAAAAAGTTGATAATTATTTTGATGAAGCATACCGTTGAATATGAAAAACGAGCATATCTTTAAACATGGAAAATTTTTTGTTAAAAAGAGGGAAATAAATAAACAAATGGCCCACTTTAATTCTGGATATATTTCTTTTAAGTACCAATCAAAATCTTTGCAGTCTAATCTTTTCTTCAAATCCATTCTAGCAGTGATGCTGAAACGAAAAAATGATGACTATTTAATATAAGTGTTCTGAGGAAAATTTAAGTAGTAGTCAGATTTCGAGTGAGCAGCACTTACTTGCCAAAATTAACATATCGAGCAGACGGTACTTGCTTGAAATAAAGATGCTTATAGTCACCTAACCATACTTCAGCAGCTCTCCTTGTATTCCTACAAAATAAATTTGTTGATGTTAAAGCCTAAAAATATCAGTGAATGAAAACATAAATAGCAGATACTTATGGTTTGCAGAAATATACAAACACAAGGAAAATCTACTTTTGGAAAACATTTCCACTTCCACCAGGAAAAGTGTAAGGATGCTGTTTACGAAATACATGACCAACTCGACTACACGGAATGATTTCCAATGAACCACCACACTGCCAAACTCGAAATGAAAGTTCTGAATAAGCTTAATATATAAACTGAAGATTTATCAAAACACTCCAAATCTAGTATATGTTTCTTCATGATAAAAACACGAGACAGGTAAGATACTTTTGAAACAAGTAGTTTTAAATCATTATTTTTTAAATGTGACTTCTAATAATATCATAAGCTGAAATCATAAAAATAAATTAAGCTCTATGAACTTTTGTCCGGGATATTTTATTGGAAATTTTATTAGAAATTCTGAAACCAAGACAAACTTACCAAGATTCTCACCGCCCCAAATATCCATTTCCTCATCGTACTTGCCCAGTTCTTCGAACCAACTTTTTTTGATCATAAACAAACCTCCAGCTATTACAGGCGTACTTGAATCAAAATTACATTAACAAAATTGAACAACAAAAAATAATGTTTTCAGGAAATTAATCTGTAGTTAAAGCCAGATACCCAAATATTATCGGCTTTATTACGCTTAATTACACCATACAGTTAATTTTAAATAACTTCTCAGAAATAAATGTGATTATAATTTAAAAACACAAATTGTTGACTGAACTTTGTGACAAAAAATATGACCTTATGGGCGCAATAGGTCGTCTATGCCGTTGAGTTCGCAATCTACCCGTCAAATATTCCCATTTAAAGACAAGATTCCATTCAAATCCTGAAAAAAAAAGGAAAGAATTTTTTAAACTCTTATAAGCATTTTAAGAGAATCAGCAATATTAAAATGCACTTCATCAATATGTTAACTCATTTATTCTTTTCGATTAAGCCAAAATATGAATGTGAATGATGAAGGATATCAGAAATTTATTTAGTGAAACCTCCTCTTAGATCAGCACTAGCAGGAATATATTTGAAAGTATCCTTGTTGATAACATCAATAACAGGAGCAACAACCGCTTTCCTGTTTTCTTTAACACGGGCAAGAAGTGGTTCCAACCAATGAACATTGCATTCACAATGACTATCCAAAAAAGTAAGGACTGAAGCACGTGCTATCTCTGCTCCCTTCACTCGTGATCTTATTAGACCTCAAATTCAGTAAGAAAAAAAAATCCTAGTTTGCATTTTTGTTTGATTTTTTTTTTTTTTTT